ACTCAATATATACAGGAATTCAGAAACCTCCTAGTGTGTGAGGGTGACTTCTGGCCATACTGGCTCAACCCACTCCTGAGAACTCAGATGCTTAGGGCACTGCTCCCCCACCCCTACACAGCACATGCGCACAAACACCTGACCTGACTGGAAGGTTAAACTCTTGTTGTGCAGCTTCTAGGAACCGGGTAAGTGGCTCGTCAGGTTGGTAGAAGCCAATGAGCAGAATCTCCTGCATCCCAGGGACCTGAGGTCAAGGGAAGAGGTTGAGAGAAGAACAGCATCTGATAGGAGGGAATTATGGGAGGGAGAAATCCCTGGTCCTGGCCCAAAATCCAGAAACCACACGTTCAGTCTCAACTGTGGCCTTGGGCATTCATTTTACCATGCTGGTCCGATTTCTCCTCTGGACAATGACGAAGTTAGAGTCTATTTCCCTTAATTAAAAGACTCTCAAAGTTAGAGTCCTTTAATCCTTTATTATTCTACTAGAGGCCCAATGCACGAAATTTGTGCAAGAGTAGGCCTTCCTTCCTCCGGATGCCAGCACCAGCTTCCCTCTGGCACCCGGGACCCGGGCTTTCCTCTCAGCCCCGGCTTCGTCCAGAAGGTTGTCTGGAAGGACATCCAGTCTAATTAGCATATTATGCTTTTATTATTATAGATTATTCCCCCCACCCCCAATCTGAAGTGGGGTTCACCCTAGGAAAGATTTTGCCTATCAAGCTGCATTACAGGATAATCCATTCATTTCCCTCATATTTATTATCTGTCAATCTGAGCTTAAGATCGGCTTGAGGTTAAGGATACCATTTATCAAGTGTCTACATTGTACTAATTACTTTACAAACATCATCTCTAAGCTTTGCAACCCCACAAAGTAGGTCTAATCAGCCCCGCTTTACAAATAAGGAAACTACGGCTGAGATAGGGTGAGAAATTTGCTCAATTCCTTTTAGCAGGCAGAGACTGGACTCAAATCAACCTTGCCAGTCCCAATACCAAAAGCAATACAGGAATTAGCTCCATAGTGAGCAAGAGTAGTATGATTCTGTGCTTTGTTATCATTAAGGTTTCTCATGCTACGTACGGCTTTAAGTTGTCTCTAAGATTCCTGCCTAATCTCACATTCCATAGGAGTGAAATATGAGCAAGAAGAAGCCAGACAAGAAGCTAGATTAGGAGAAGACGCATGACAACTGCATTGCACAACTGGTGGTGTGGTGATGGTGGAGGGAGATGATTCATAGTGTCATTTGTAAATGGTGGTCCCTGGAGTTATGCCTGGTGGGAAGAGGTCATGGTTGGTAAAGGGGGAAATACAGCATGAAGGAGATGAATGGAGGTGGGAGAGGGGAGCCTACAGGATTACCTGGGCACAGGCCTCAATGTGGTGCTGGATCATAGGGACCCCTGCCACTGGAAACAGGGGTTTGGGCACCTCAAAAGACAAAGGCCTGAAGCGAGTCCCTGAGAGAGGAGAGAGAAGCATATTTTTGTTTTCTGCTTCCCAACCACTCCAGCTCAACCACCTCCCGATATTCCCCTGGCTCCTCACCCTTTTGAGGGCCTCCAATCAGGATCACAGCTTTAAGCATGATGGCAACTGCGACCTAAACCTCAAATAGCAAAGAAAAGTTAGGCTCAGATCTCAGACCCCAATCCTGGAACCCCACTCATACCCCGACCAAACACTAAATCCAAAATAGCAACACTGAGCCCTCCCAGGATATAAATTCAATCTAGTCCCTCCCTGGGCACCCCACCTCACACATCTCACACATCTCAAATCCCAACCCAAATCCAGCCAGCCTTCAAACCTCACAGTGATTCCTCCCAAATTCTGAAATCCACACCCCGCAATCTGATCCCTAACAGACTTCCTTCTGGCTGAAAGCTCAGCAAACTCCGAAGCTCAGCAATAGACCTCCCTCTCACACCCCAAACCTTCAAAAACCAAACCCCCAAACCACGGATTCCCAAATTGGTCCATCCCCACTCTAGATGTTAAGCCCTGCATCCCAACAGTGAATCCTGATATTGAACGTCAAATCCCGAGTGAGCCCCACATACTTCACGACAGTCCTAAGAGTCCACTTTAAATATTAAACTAACACTGATCTACATTTGACAACGCCAACCCCTGGCAAAAACCCTTTCTATGCTGAACCTAAATCCTAAAATTAACCTCCAGGGTGATGATCCCTGAATCAAAAAGACAGGTTCCCTTAGCATCCCAAACACAATATGCCAATCGCCTGTGTCCCAAGACTGACAAGTGCTGAATCTTTGGGTTCGGAGGACTGATTGCTGACCCTCTGAACCCCACAACTGACTAATAAACCCTAACCTCGCGTATCCAGGGCTTGTGGGACTAGGACTGCATCCGACGTGCGGAGAGCCAGCCCGGACCTCCGCGCCGCCCTTCGTCTAGGGGCCGTGCCCGGCCCTCTCCCCCTTTCGCCACCCCTCCATCGGGTCTCTTTACCCCCAGTCCCCTTTACGCCAGCTCTGCCGCCCGCTACTGCTGGCTCCTTCCGCGCACGTGTCTTCTCGCCACTCGCGAGAACTTCGCAGGGTCTGCCGGGAATTGTAGTTCTGAAGTTCCTCCCGCGTTCCCACTGAGAAAGGGGTGGAACTTGTGGGAGAACAAGGAGGCGTGGCCAAGGGATTGAAGGGGAGGGTCGAAATGAGAAGTGGAGGCGGGAGCCTGGATTAGGATCACGAGCCGTCTGGGAATGGGCCCGGGGGTAGTAGTTCAAGTAGAGAAAGTAGGTCACAGGGGAAGCGAGCCTGCAGAGGAGAGTGGGGTGTGGTCACCCTTGAAACGGACGTGGTCAGCGCGAGGCTTGAAGGTTACAAAAGAAAAGAAGGAGTCGTAGACGCCTCTGCCCTCCTGCTGGGCAGTGAAGCAGCTTCCTACCGTGAGAGAAGCCGATCTCGCTCAGATTTACTCTGTGAATACCGGCACTGGACCAGGCACTCTCCAAACTTCCCTCTGCCCCCAACACTGTGACTTCGGTGTGTGGGTACCGGGGAGTGGAAATGGCGATTCATAAGAAGAGAACAGACGCGGAGGGTCCGAGAGAGCAGCTTTATTAAGCAAGAAGAAGGGGGTTGTTAGTCCCACCCACCCCAAGGCGTGGAGACGGAGCGAAAGTTCCGCGGGTCCCTTTCAGGCCACGTCCACGCGAGCGAAGCTCTGGTCCATGCCCAGGCTGTTCTCCACGTACACCTCGTACTTGCCGCTGTCCTGGGGGGTGGCCCGGCGGATGGTCAGCGTTGTGTTGGTGCTGCCGATCTCGAAGTAAACCCTGCGGGGGAAGGGGGCGGGGCCGCGTGTCAGTTTACGGGCTGCCCGGGCCCGGCTTCTTAGCCAGCGCTGTTCTTTGCCTCCCAGTTCCCCTCCCTCGTCCCACTCCCGCGGGTTTTCTGGGCCCCATCCGGCCCAGGCTCCAGCGCCAGGCCCTGCCTTTGCAGCCGCTCCCCGCCCTCGCCTGTCATCCTCCTCGATGTCCTTGCCGTCCTTGGTCCAGCCCACGTTGGGCGCAGGCTCGCCCATGATCGCCGCAGTCAGCGTCACGGTGGTGCCTTTGCGCGCCTTAGTGTTATCCGGTCCCTTTTGAATTTTCGCCGGGACTAGAGACAGGGGAAGGGAATGCGACCCAGTCAGGGGCCTAAAGGTGAGGCGGGGCATCACCCTCCCAACTATTACCCGGCCCTAAATACGAGATGGATTTGAACTCTCAGCGTGACCTTGGGCACGTCTTTAGCCTCTCGGGGCTTCAGCGACTCAGCTGTTGAACGAGATTAATCCCTGCCCCTCCTACTTCGTAGGGTTGAATGGAGGATGAGAAGAGATACTATGGGTGAAAGCCCAGGAATGCTCACACCTCTCGGGGTGCCTTGGAGACAGCTCTGGATAGTGGAGATTGCCCTGGGTTGGGAGCCAGAAGATCAGGGCTCTCTCTAACCCTAGCTCTGTCCCCTGGATCGCTGTGCCCTTGGCGCTCTGAAGTCGAGTGGTTGAAACCCATACCGGACTTGTTGGCCTGGGTGGGATGGGATCCCGAGGTAGAAAAGACTACACAGGCCATGCGGCTCTGCGCCCTACTCTGTGCCTCAGGCTGTGCCAGGGGCTGGGCTGGCCACATCCCCATCCGGACTCAGCTAGGCCCGAGGATAAACGCGCGGCTGAACCCGGCTGCAGACGGCGATGCTGCTCTGCTCCGCGGCATTGCACGCGGGGCGCGCGCACCTTCCACGAGGATGCGCGCCGAGTCGGAGCACTGGCCGAAGGGGTTGGTTACGTTGATGCTGTACTGGCCTAGGTCCGCCAGCTCGCCATCGCGCACCACCAAGGCGACTACGTCAGGGTCCTCGAAGATGTAGCGATACTTGGGCCCGTCGCGCAGCTCCTTGCCGTCCTTGCTCCAGCGGATGAATGGGTCCGGGAAAGCCGAAATGCGGCAAATCAGCTTGGCCGCGCTGCCCTCGATCAGCACCACGTCCTTCAGCGGTTCCAGCACGCGCGGCGGCCCGGTCTCCCGCAGCTCCTTCCGGGACCTGCTCGCGGGCAGGGGCAGGGCCCAGAGCTCCCAGACACCGTTCGCACCCTCCCGCAGCCCTGTCCGCCCGCACACAGTCCCCTGCCCGCCCCCTCGGCCGACTAGACCCGCCCGTAAGCACAGGGAGGTGCGGGGAGGGGCCGCTCCTGAATCGTTACCCCGATGAAATGGCCTGCTCTGGTCGGCCTCCTGCCACACCTCAGCAACTGCTCTCCCCTAAACCCAGTGGCCTTAGCAGTCCTGGCCCAGTGCTCAGGACCGCCCTTCCCCAATGCGGAATGCGGACTCTGCAGTTCAGTTCCCTTCCCTCAGAGGCGCTAGGGCTACCCCTCACCTGTGGCCCCGGTAAGAGGCCTGGATACGAATGGCCGCTTTCTGGACCTGGGGGTCGTTGATGTCCAGGCTACATCCCGGAGGCGGGGCCGTAGCCCCCGGCTTTTTGGCGGGAGCCGCTTTGGACATCTGGGCAGCGGAAAACAGACACGGGGGTCTAGGCTGACACAGAGACTGCGACCTTCAGCCTTTGCCCTTCGGATTCAAAACGTCCCCGGGATGGAAGTGGCTAGAGCTGGTCTGAGGATCGGACTCACCGTGGGGGTGGGGGCGTCGACTTCGGGACCTGAGTGAACTAGGTGGGCAGCAGGCGGTGCGAAGCCCTTCCGATGGCACAGTAGGGGCGCGGGCAGGTGCTCAGCCCTGGGCCCTGGTTTTATACATCGCTCCCCTCCTTGCCTTGTTTGGCGTGGTTGCCCCAAGCCCCCCGGGACCCCAGCTCCCGCCCCTTGACCCAAGCAGGCTCCTTATTTAGCCCGAGGATGCCTGCGATGCTGGCTCAGTCGCTAGAATAGGCCTAGGGGGGTGGGGTGGGGGGAAACTCGAGCGGCTCTGGGGTGCACCGGGCGTCAGCGCCTGGACAGCTGGACAGCTGGACAGCTGGACAAGGCCCCATCTCCTTCCAAGGCAAGGGGTACCATCCCACTCCGGGGAGGACCAGACGGGCCCCACGCCGACAGGAGATTCAACTCCTTGTGGGGGGCAACTTTACACTCAGTCGGTCCCTGGACAATGGGACAATGTGCCCTTCCTGAGATACTGTAAGTTAAGGGGTGCAAGTGTTGGCGGGGGGGGGGGGGCGGGGGGGAGGGGGGGGAGTGGCGGGGGAGGGTTTCCTTGAATGAAGCCAGAGAAGTGGCGGACTTAACTGTCCATCCAGCCAATTATGAGAGGGCCACGTGGCTGTCCGGACCAATCCGAAAGCGCCTTACCCCCACCCCCACCCCAGAGTCTAGGGTTGTCATTTCCGCACTGTGCCCCCTGGCGGTAAACTGAGATAAACCTAGAGAGGACCGTAAAGATGTTTAAGAACAGCATCCCTTCCTGCCACCCCCATCTCCACGCACTCTCCTCCATGTGATACGGTATGGGCTGCACTGTCCCTGGAGATTGGCACTAATACTGACTCAGCAACTTTGGGTGGGCCCAGGCCCATTATGGGGCAAAGCTGATGTATAGGGGCACCAGAGGTGATAGGACATGCCTGGTGTCCAGCCTGCCAGGCAGAGCATTGCTTCCATTTACGGCAACTGCCCACCCGGGTATGGAGCACTGTCACCTTTTGATCAGAGCAATTTTGACACAGCTCTGCTGATATAAATTACCTTTGCTCCTCCGGGTTTGGAACAAGCAGTTCATATGCCATTTCCAATGGAGATGCGAAGGGAGTTCAAGATCAGAAGGGGGACGGGAGAGGAATTTTACCATTTATCAAGATATGAGTTCAGGCACCTCATTTTTATATGAAAACACTTGCAGTGAGTAGGGGATTACAGATTCTCACAGGCAAACTGTATATCTTCATCGCTAAAATGACAGGTGAGCTAAAAGATGTCTCTCTGGTCCCTTCCAGCTGCTTTAACTGCTGTTTTTATGATGATAGGTATTGCCTTTTCCCTCAGGTCCTGAGAAGCCAGAGAGGCTGGGCTGGGATGACATTGTTTGGGCTCCAGCCAAGGGGCCCTCAACCTAGATCAGCAACACACCAGCACCAGCTCTCTCTGCTCATGGTGGCAACTTTATTCTTGTCACTTTGTCAAGAACAGGGTTTTCAAGGGGTGAAGGGGGGGAGGACAGTCCCTTTGGACCCAAGGAGAACTGGCTCCCTTCTCTCCCCACCTCAGTTCTAGAACCCACTAACCATTCTGTGGCACTGCAGCCAGAGTCGAGGTGCCTTCACCCCCAGCAGACTTCACAGCAGCTTGCCATGGGGATCAGAAGGTCCAGTCTGGGTGTCCCTGGGGTCTAGGAAAATGCTCGTCTGTAGCATCGTCACAGCAGACACACTGCCCAGAGAACTCACAGCTGCTCCGGACAGCTGGTGCCTGATTGGTGGTCTGACACTGAGAGCATGGGGGGTGGGCCTGTCCTGGGCTCCTGTGCAGCTCTTCACACCACCTGCTCGCATCATGATAAACCCCCTCTGCTTGGGGCACCAGGACCAGAGCTGGGAAGCATTGCAGAAAGAAGGCTGAGCCAGGATTGGGGTGTGGGCCGGTCCATTTCAGAGCCTGGCGTCTTCCAAGGTGTGATGATGGAACATGTGAGAAAGGGTGGGGACCACCAGAGTGTGGTTAGAGGGTTGTGGTGGGGATTCAGGGTCCCGCCAGGATTCCAGAAACGTCAGAGGGAAAAGCAGACTGAAGTCTCTCTTCCCTCAGGAATAAGGGAGAGGTAAGGGGCCAGGAGGGCCAGGGAGGGAGGAGGACATCTGAAGGTGCTGGCTGGTACACCTGGGCTCTCACTGGCCCAGAGGAGGCTGGAATACTCCTGTCACAGCACCTTGCTCCCCAGCCATCTCTCCCCATAGATCACACATAGGTCCTGCTGCTTGCTATTTTTATTTCCCTTGTGACAGACAGACAGACAGCTGCACAGACAGCTGGATGGCTTGGGTGGAGGGGGATGGTCAGGACAACATGAGCAATTAGGATTGGGTGGAAGGAAAACTTCATAAAAGTCAATAAATAAATAAATATGAATGGGAAGAAGGGCAAAGGCCATGGAGGGCCATGGGGACATCCTTGGGCCAACACAGAGCCCAGAGCTGCACTCACTGAAGCAACAGGAGAGCACTGGGTTGAGTGACCACTGCCTCCTGCCTCCTGCCTCCAGCCCTCCACAATTCTTCAATGGGATGCTGGCAGCTGGCCCATCCCATCCCCACCTGAGTCCTCTCTCCTCTCCCTCCCCTATCTTGCTGCCCTCTCTCACACGCTGCCTCTGGCACCCTGTCACTGTCCGATGTCCTGTCCCTGCTTCACTGGCACTCCCAGCCCATGGCCTTGACACCCTGGGCTCCTTCCTTTTCCACCTCTCCAGCCACTCACACCCTCCTGGGTTACTTCCCCCTGGATGCACTGTCCCCCATTCCCAGAACCTTCCTAGAGTCTCCCACCCCTTCCTCTCACTTCCCCATTCTGTTCTTGCCCTTCTTCCTGCTTCCAACTCCACCCAGCCTGGCCAATGAGTCTCCAGCTCTGGCTCTGGCCTGGTGGCATTGGCCGAAGCCCCCGAAACCGGGGCCTCTGTCCCCGCAGGTCCATGAGGTAACAGCCCGGCTGGATTTTTCTGCTGGTGGTGTCCGAAGCCCTGAGTCCACCCAGTTCAGCGTGGGCCCTGGAATGTCCCGCAGCATCAGCGGGAGCCCCGAGTGGAATCCCGGGGCCAGGCTGTGGTCCGAGCCACTAGGAGCTGCCTGGGTAGGAGCGGAGCAGCACCTTGTGACGGGTGGCGGCCTCGGCCCTGCGACGCCGCTGCTCACCCAGGAACTCCTTGAGCCGGTTGGTGGTGAAGGTGAGCGTCTGGCGGCGCAGCTTCATCAGGTAAGCGTCCTGCAGCCACGGGTGGGCCAGGCAGTCCTGCAGAGAGGGCCGGCTCCTGCCAGGCCCAGCCAGGAATGGTGAGCCTGGAGGGACAGCCTAGAGCAGGGCTGGGCTCTGTCCTCCCATAGATCTGAGTCCCACGCCTGGATTTACCCCTAGTGAGTGACTCTGGGCAACTCTCAGTTTCCCAGTCTCTGGAATGGGGACAGTGATTCTGCTTGTGTCATAGGTCTTAAATGGTGGGTAGGACAACCACTTAGTAGTAGTAGTAGCAACAGTGTATTATTAGGGCAGGGGAGGCGTTAGACCAGGGCATGGGCTAGACCAGGGCAGTCCGAGGCCAAGAAGGTAATACTGGGGGGTTGGCAGGTGTAGGGCCCACTCACCAGGGGTGTACTGAGAGGACCTTTCGCAAGAAGAGGGTGGCGCTTTGGGAGGTGTTGGGGTACAACTGGAAGGCATCAAAGCGGCCCCCCACAATACGAGCCTCTGTTTCCTGGGGGTCTGGCTCATAGAACGGAGAGTGTCCACTGAGCCTGTGGTGGAGACAGTTCAGTTGAGACATGTGAACAGAGGGTCAACTCACAGGTCCAGGGAGACATTAGTATGGGGGGCCTCCAGGGCACAGCACTCAGGGACAGGGCTACTGGCACCTGGGTACACACGTGCTAGGGAGGGGGAAGACCGTGGGCAGAAGGTGGGTCCGGGGCACTCACATGATGTAAGTGAGCACCCCCGCACCCCAGATGTCTGTGGCGGAGCCGATGGGGTCTCCCTTCACCATCTCAGGAGCTGACAGGAGACAGAGGCCAAGTTGAACCAGTTTCCTGGTGGCAGGGAAGCAGGAAAAGGCTGGGGAGGCCCCTGAGGCCACCACCCTGAGGTGGGTCTGACCAGAGCAGCAGGCAGGGTGGAAGTGGGGGTGGCCTCCAGGGGAGCTGTGGGCACCTGAGGAATCAGCCCAGGCTCTGAATGGTGGGGTCACCAGAACCGCGGAGTTGCTGAGAACCAGGGTCACTGGCTCCCTCGGGTCAGCTCCAAGGTGGAGTGCCCATTCACAGTGAATGTGGCCAGCTCAAAGATGAAGAGCCTTTGAAATCGGCCTGGCTGGCTACAATCCCAGGCCTGCCCCTTCTAGCTATAGGACCCTGGGCAATGTATTAAACCCGTCTGGCGCTCCAATTTCCTCATTTGTAAAGTGTGGCTTTCAGAATAAATCTAAAGGATACAGATAATGAACATAAAGTATTTAGCAGGTAGCTAAGTGGTAGCTGGTTTTCCTTACTTATATAAATTAATATTGGTTCTCCTATCTTTCCAGCTTTATCAAATCCTGGCTCCACCTTTGAAAACTGTCTTCTATGGGACAAATAACCTCACTCTGCCTGTTTCCTCATCTGTAAAATGGAAGTAATGTTATGCCAATCTCCAGGGCTATTGTGAAGATAAACTGGGGAAAAAACAAACAAACATAGAAAGGACTTCTTGCATACAGTAAGCACCCAATAAATGGCATATATGTGGGTGAAGTGGGGGAAGCTATGGCTGCTGTCCCATTGGCAGTACCCCAACCCCCTACCCTGGCTGGCGTGGTGCCCTCACCCATGAACTCCAGTGTGCCCGTGCGGTGGCCAAGGGGCCGCAGGGCCTGGGGGTTGTAGGGCTGGGCACTGCCGAAGTCCACGATCTTGAGGGCGTTGTCAGAGGCCAGCAGCAGGTTGTCTGGCTTGATGTCCAGGTGCAGCACGTGACGGCCGTGGAGGTAGTCCAGGCCTTGTAGCAGCTGCACCACATAGGTGGCCACATCATCCTCTGAATATCGGAACCTGGAGGTCCAGGGAAGACAGGTGATATCTCAGCCCAGCTTCCTCTGCTCTCATTCCCTGCTCCCCCAGAATGCCCAGCTACCTGTCACTGAGCCCACAGAGGAGCTCCCGGTTGCCACAGCTCTCAGCGATGAGCACAAGGTAACGTGGGGTGATGTAGGCCTCATGCAGGGACATGAGCCGCTCGTGGTGCAGCGTTCGCAACACTTCATACTCCTGCAGGACTCGCCGCTTGCCCTCAGCTGCGTAGGGCACAATCTTGGCCACAAACGTCCGCCCGGTGGCATTCTCCCGGCATGCACGCACTACACCAAAGCGCCCCCTATGTGTTAAGGGGACACCACAGGCTTAGAGGAAAGAGGGGGACACCACCATTGTGAAGGCTAAGGGGACTGGGGTTTGGCGAGCAGGGACCCAAGTGTGGGTTCTGGGGTTTAATCTTAGAAATCTGGGTTCAAGTCCCAGTTCTGCCCTCCAGTGACTCTGTACCTTAGGCAAATCCCATAACCTCTCTAACCTCAGTATTCCCATCTGTGAAATGGATGATGATAATAATGCAGTGGCTTCCTCTCCAAGTGATGAAGATTAAATGTGATCATATGGCTACAGAGCTTAGCACAGTGTGTGGCCCAGAGAAAATTTGAACTCAATAGTGCTGATGACCCAGACCTTCCCCATGCTGGGTGGGCAGTCCAGTTTTTTCTCTGAATTCCTGTGTCCCCTAAGCTCCACCCACTCCCCCCTCTGTCCTCCATCCCTTCCCCTCTCTGCTTGCCTGGCCTTCTCCTCCAAGAAGGTGTAGGGTTTCTGAGGGGGGCCCTGTCGAAGAGAGGTGCCCTCCGGCCCCGGAGAGCTGCGGGGACTGCCGCCAGGGGAGCTGGTCATCTCCTTGGCTGAACTGAGGGTCTGAACAGTTACTTTGGTGGACTCAGGAGGGGGCTCGGGGGCTGGGGGCTCGGGGGCTGGTGCAGACACAAAGGACGTCACCATATACAGGGGAGTAGAGGAAGACGCTGGTTTAACCCCTTGAGGAGTGGAGGCTGGGGTCGGGGTCCCAGTGTTAGGGACGGAAGACTTGGGTTTACTTGGGGTGACCTGGGCACTGGGTGCGGAGGGCTCTGCTTGCCGGGCAGCCTGCAGGCCTCTGTGCTTTCGTGGGGGGGTTTGGGGTGGTGGACCCACAGCCTTGAGTGAGGACAAGGCCTGGCTGGGGGGTGTTGGGGGAGATGAAGGGCTGAGAGCAGCTGACTGGGGGCCTGGGGGACCAGGAGCTGCAGCAGTGGTCGGGGATGGGGCCAGTGAGGTAGGAGAGTCCGGAGGCGGGGCCCTGGCTGGCCCTGAGGTAACAAGGGTGTCTCGGTGAGCAGCAGGTAGCAGAGCTGAGGAATCTGAGGAAAGACAAGGAAAATCATCACCACGGTGCCCCTAGCAGCAAAACTGTGGTGCTCTGAGAAGGGGGTGGATCCTGGGCTTAGGGTCCCCTTCTTTATCTGGCCACCCTCCCCGCCCCCCCCTCGCACTGACCTTGCGTGCCCCTGACGAGGACCTTCTCAGAAGGGTTGCTGAAAGGCCCTTGTCCTGCACGGTTGGCACAGGCCACACGGAACCTCACAGTCACGCCGATTGGTAGGTGGGTCACATTGTAGTAACAGTCGAGGATGCCTGAGCTCACTGGGTGCCAGGAAGACTCCCCTGCGGGCACCATCGGAGGAGGGCTGAGGTCACAGAGGGGTGGCCCAAGCTCCCAGTGCTATCTGTAAGGAGTCTAGGGAGCGGAACTCTGCCCGGGAAGGACACTTGCCCCCCTGGCTTCTTCGCCTTCCACCTGCCACCCCTTCCCCCAGCCAGCCTGTGCAGTCCCTCACCGTCCACCCGCCGCTCCAGCGTGTACGTGCAGGGTGCCCGGCTGTCTCCTGGCTTCCAGAGCACCAGCGCTGTGTCTTGGTAGGTCTGGGGTACCTCGGGAGGGGCTAGCTTCCCTGGGACACCTGGCAAGAGAAAGGGAGCCTCAGTGAGCCCCTATGCTCCAGCTTAGAGCCCATCTAGCCCTGCCCCAACCCCCTCCATCACTGCCCCCCCTCCCAGTCCCTGCCCCAGGCTCACGGGCCACAGCCACGGTACAGGAGCTGGTGACACTGCCCAGGACATTGGTGGCTGAGCACTCATAGAGCCCGGCGTGCCGCTTGCCCGCCCGGGGGATGCTCAGCAGCTGCCGTCCATCTTTGCAGGACACGATGACCACTGAGGGCTCTGACCGCAGGGACTGCTTGTCTGCGGACAGAGAGGAGCAGGAGGGGCTGCTGATTGGGGCAGCACATATGGTCCTCCGGGACCCCTCGGCCGCCACTCCCCCAAGCCTCGCAGGGCATTGGGGTCACATGCCATGCCCCCCTCTGGGGAGAAGTGATCTCACCTTTCTTCCAGGAGATGCGGGGTGCAGGGCAGGCTGCCGGCAGGCAGAGCAGGGTAGCTGCCTCTCCCTCCAGCAGCACCTGGTCCTTGAGTTTGATGTGGAAGACTGGGGGGAAGTCTGCAGGGAGAGCAGATGGCCATGGGTTGCAAGGACCTCAGCTCACACTGCTGAGGGAGGGGAGGATACATGTGAGAGGTGGAGAGCAGAGTAAAAGCTTCTCTCTTCCCAGTCAGATGCGAACAGTGCCACCCCAGGCCACACTTTCGAGAATTTTCTTTGGGGTGAGCAGCACTCTCTCCAGGCACTCGCTGCGTGTAGAGCTATCTTTTCCTTTCGCTGACTATTGAAGATGCATGGTAGTGACCTCATTCATATGTTTGCAAATCACTCAGAGCAGCGCCTGGCACTGCGTCAAGTGCTCTATACACACTTGTTAAATAAAATAAAAACAAGTAAATATTGAAAAACCGTAATGGTTAAGCTGGCAATACTCACTCCCTCTGGGGCACCACAGGGAAGTGAGAGGAGCTGGTCACCTGAGCTGAGAATCCTGGGGTTGAACACAATATTCAATCCAAAAATGCAGTCTCAAAAGCTCTGAAGTCGTGGCAAAACAGGGGGCAGCGCCAGAAAGTGTGTCAGCCTCCCCACCCCTCATTGCCCTGGGGTCCAGGGATTCAGTTCTAGACTTCTAATACTCCTTCAGGTCAGCCGAGTGGTGAGAGCCTTTGAAGGGGCAAAAGACGGTATCTGCATGACCTTGGACCATGTCTTGTGTAAATTGAGGAAAAGAAAAAAACACCAAGCTCATGGGGTTGTTGTGAGAATTACAAGGAGCATATACAGTGCTTAGCACGTGTCTAAGATATAACCATAAGTGCTCATAAGCGTTAGCTCTTGTTATTGTTATGATTATTAGCTCATGAATATGCTCAGTAGCGAGCCAGGCACAGACCCTCAGAGGAAGAGGCTGTTTCGGCAAAGCTGGCTTCACAGCTGGCTGGTGAACCGGTCATGGCCTGGGTGCAGATGGGCCAAGGTCTCTGCTCAGTGCAGTCGCCTGTGGCTCCTTAGTGCCATGAGCACTTGTATTCCTGCTCCCTGGCATATGTCTTTAGAAATAGTCCAATCTGGTCCTGGCCACCGGGGGTGGGGGTGGGGGTGGGGGTGGGTGGGTGGATTTTTCTCACGTGGGCAGAGAAGGCTGAGGGATGGATGCCCCAGGGAGCCCCAGCTGCCTGTCTAAAGAACCAGGAGGGAGTGGGGGTGGGGTGAGCTGGGAGGAGAGGAATGCTCAGCAGGACTGGATGGTCCGAATAGCAGCATGCCCGCCCTTCCCACTGTAACCGTTTCCCTAAGGAGGGGTCCCACACTGAGGCTCCAATAACAAAGTGAATACGGTTTCATCAGACAAAGGGAGGGTACTGGGTAGGGGCGAGAGAGGGAGGCCAGGAGGTAAGGTGAAAGGTGATCCTGGCCCAGCTCTGCCAGTTCTACCTCCACCCCCCAGAGGCTAGCCCGAGCTGGTCAAGTGGACATGGGCAGCCTTAGTCTGCAGGGAGGGGGGAGGATGAGGTAAGGGGACACCGCCTCAGCGGGAAATCAGCTGCACAAGCAAAATGGACCTGGGAGGGAGGCCCCTGGTGGGAAGGGATCAGCTGTCCCCAGGCCTCTGTGCTGGCTTCTCTCTCTCTGTCTCAGTCCTTCTCCTTCTCCACCCCTGCCCCCACCAGCTGGCCTCCCTCCCTCTTCCTGCACTACAGCCCCCCAATGCCCACTGCCTCGAGGAGAAGGTGCCCCAGCTCCCCTGGCCGAGGCCAGACATAGTCACCTCAAGCCTACTGGAGGCACAGCTGGACCAGTTCGGAGGAGTTTTATCGGAAACTGGGGAAGAACAGACTGGTGACTGCTGAAGATCCTGCACACAGCCTGCCCTGGTGGGCCTGCTCCTTTCTGCATGCCAGCCGGGGAAACCTGGCCTCCTGAGCCTTTGTGTATAGTCCTTGAGTAATGCCCCTTTTTTAGGTGAGGGACGGGGTGACCCCAGGTGGGAAATACCTGCCTCCTTGCAGGACACCAGGCAGAGAAACAGGCCAGGGCAAATCCCATGTTCCCCTCATTCCAGCAAAGAGCCCTGAAGGTGCTGAAAGTGCTGGAGACCCTGCAGGGGCAGGGCAGGGGGCAGGGAGGGGCAGTCGGGTGTTCAGGCTGAAGAGAAATGTAGAATTGGGGGCACAGTCCGGATTGTGGGCCTCTAGACTGGGAGAGAAATAGTGTCTTTGCATACACACATCGGTACGGGGGCTGTAGGAGCAAGGGAGCCTTCCCCTGACCTTCAGAACTACACGGAGTTTCGGGGACCCTCTCCCATGAGGGAGGAGGCGAGCCAAAGAAAAGCTATGGTGTCCTGAAGCCGCTTCTGGGGTCTGGTGCACAGGGGCATACACTCCAACTCTGGCTGCTGTGCTTACTACCAGCTCTGTGCCTTCCACCAGCTACTTAGCATGGCTAAGCCTGTTTCCTCACCTGAGCCATATGGACATGACACAAATAATGAATAGTTCAACAGTGCAGGAGGGTTGAGTGAGGCAGCCCTTGTAAAGTGCTTCATAGGATGCTGGGCATTGCTAATTAATGACAATGCTGCTATTATTGTTGTTGTTATTGTTTTCCTAATCCCAGGTCCCTTGCATCACTGCTGGGGCTCCTCAGAGTGGCCCATCTCCCACCCAGCAGGCACCTCCTACCTGATTCACTGGGCACATACTGGTGACCCAAATCCTCCTGGACGCTGGCAGAGAGGTTTGGCTGTGACGAGCCCTTGTCTTTCCTCAGCCGGGAGAGGCCCCAGCGCAGCCGGCTCCGGCTTTCCCCAGGGGCTGTGAAGACCCAGGCGCCTTAGTACCTGCCCAGCCAGGGCCAGGCAGCTCCCACCCGCTGCAGCCCTCAGCCCAGAGAAGTAGAGAACACCCAGCCCCTCCTGGCCTTCTCCCTCACCAGCCTCTGCCCCTCACCTCCTGCGCTCCAGCCATACCAATTCAATCCTCCGCGGCCTCCAGCGCCTCCTCGGCCTCTTTCTGGTGGGTGTCCCCGCCCTCTCCTCCTCCCAGAGCCTCTCGTCCAGTGAGCGCCACCCTCTTCTGAACTCTGCACCTGTCATCCAGGCCCCACACCCCAACCCACCCACACTAGTCCACCCATTCTCCCTGCACCCTGCCCCTCCTCACCTGAGCCGCCGGACGTGGCGCTGGCCTCGGAGCCCAGGGACTCCTCGGAAGGGGTGGCGGCGCCGGCCTGGGCGGCCAGCTGGTTGTGTGGGAGACCGAGGCGCCGCAGACTCTCGCCCTCGGAAGTGGCCCTGCGTAGCCGTCCAAACAGCGGCGTGCTCCTCCCCGACGCGCCCCCGGAGTCCTCGCTGCTGCCGCTGCGCTGCAACCGACTGGACAGCCGCTCCAGCGTGGAGCTGAGCCGCCTGCGCACCGCGAGCACCGGGGAGCCCCGCGCCGAGCTGCCGCCCTCCGAGCTCTCCCCGTCCCCGCCGCCGCGCGCCTCCGAGGCCGCGTGGCGCTGCGCGGGCGGGGTGCGCCGCAGCCGCTGGGACAGCGACAGTGAGAGCCGGCGGACCAGGCCCGGCTCTCCGGCCGCCCTGAGGTCCTGCACCGAGCGCGAGCGCTCGGGCCGTCGCACCATCTCCAGCGGCGTGCCCGCCGGGCTGGGCCGGTACATGCCGTCCTCCTCGGCCCCGCGGAAGGGGCCGCGCTCCTCCGAGCGCGAGCGGCTAAGCATTCGCAGCCCCCGTGCCAGGGGCGACTCACGGCTGCGCTTGAACTTGGCCTCGAACACGGCCTCGGACTCCAGGTTCTCGATGCTGCTGCTGAGACTGCTGCCCGGCCTGCGGGGCACCGTGGGGACCCGGGCTTTCTCGGCCGGTGCTGGGGGAGCCGAGGCTGCAGGCATGATCTTGGTAGAGGCTCCCGGGGGTGGGGAGGCCACCCTGGCGAACACCGCGGGGTGGGACTTGGGCTCCGTCGGAGGTGTGGCCGGGCCCTGGGGAGGGCCTTGCGTGTGGCCCGCCAGCTGCAATGACTGAATGATCTGGGCATAGGGTGTGAGGGGGGGCGCTGGGGTTTGCAGGGCCACGGGAGGCTGTGTAGGTTTGGGGGCTGGGACTGGTTCTGCCTTGAACTCCCGGGCCTTCTCTTGGGCAGGCTGGGATGCCAAGGGCTGAGAAGCATCACTGGGTTTGGTGGCAGGAGGTTCTGAAGACTTGGGGGCACTGGGTTTGCGGGCACTGGCTTTCGGGGCGCTGGGCCGCACAGGGCTGGGGGGCTGGGTCTCGCTGAGGGCAGACAAGGAGGGAGACTCCTGTAGTTTGCGGGCCCCAAGTCGGGCCACAGGGATCTCAAGGGGCGCCCCGGCTCGGCGGTGCCGGCCCCGGGGTTCTGCCTCACCCTGCGAGAAGCTACTGCTCTTCTGCAGGCCCCGAGTCTCTGGTGGAGGCTGGTGGTGGGGTGCTGCTTCACTGGAGGCAGCCCGTGCCAGCCGGGGGTCCCGGGCACGGCCTCCCAGGCTCTCTAGCAAGGGACCCCTGAGGCCACTGACCTTGCCATCCTCAGGGCCTCCCCGCAGCAGCCGCTGGCGCAGGGCCTGAAGCCTCTGGGCATACTCACCCTCACCCAGGCCTCCCCGGGTCAGGCGGGCGGTCCCCGGGCTGGGGCTCCGGCGCTGTGGCAGCTCCACAGACGCTGCCTTTTGCAGGCCCCGGCCCGGCTCCCGCGGCCCGGCCAGGGGCAGGGCGCTCTCAGCTGAGCTGCCCCTGCGAGCTCTCCCCGCTTGGGGCTGGGCCCAGCTGGGGGCTCCTGGCCTGGGGAGGGAGGGCAGGAGGGCTTGGGACCTTCTGGTCCTGAGAGGTGGCCCTTCCCTGCTCCTGCCACTCCATAGGGGTGGCAACCCCAGCCTCTGGGGTCCCCAGGGCCTCATCCTCAGTGGGAATGTCGGTGAGGGACACTCGAGAGCCCGAGAACTCGGGCTGCAGTGGTCGGGGCACTGAGGGTAGCTCCTCCAGCTCCTCCTCTTCAGAGTCAGAGGAGGACGAGAGCCCCCCGCTGGGTGGTGGTCTTCTGGGCACAGCCACCCACACCCGCTCGGGGGGTGCCCGCAGCAGCTCAGGGATGGGGCGCAGTACCAGGTGGCACTTGTAGCTGATCTGGGAGCGCTGAAGAAAGAGTGCTAGAGTCAGACCTACAGTCCCCCGGGGGCTAGATTGACCCACTCAGGCTCACCTCAGCCCCGGGAGAAGGCCCAAGGCAGACAGAGAGAGGGGCAGGGGGCAGGGGGCAGGAGGGAAACCGGGAGTTGAGAGAATAAAAAGCAGATGACAGAGGAGCAGGAGGTGAGGGCACATGATAGAGAAAAGGCAAGGTTAGAGAGAGAAGGCTCAGAATGAGAAGGTGGAAGGCACAGAAGCAGGACCCAGCCAAACTCACCTGCCACCTCCGCCGGGAGAGGAATAGCTTCAGGTGATCCGTGCTCACCTCTGCGCCCTTTGCCTGTGTCTGCAAACCCGGGAAAGAGGGACTTAGAGAAAGTTTTCTGTCAACCTAGACCCTCAAGGTTTGACAATGGAGAGACAAAGTCCACAGGAGGGGACACTGGACCAAGCAGCATTGAGTCCAGGTCCTGGGGGTCCCCTTCCCCTTGGATCTGTCACAACAACTCCAACAGCCAAGGTGCCCACATGTAGACAAATTCCCTGAACCTAAGAGGAGAGGCCAAAAATTGGTGGCTTCTGGGGTGGGCTTCAGAGCTTACACCAGGGCTCAAGGCCCTGTCCTAGTACAGTGGCTGCCTGGGAGGCCTGTGCTTAGGCCCCTGGGCGTGGCCCTACTGCCCAGCTCACCACCCATCTCCATGTGGAGCTAGCTGCCCAGTATCTGGAGCCTTGGTGGGCCAGGCCATGACAGAGACCTCCCTCAGCAACCCACCCAGGCTGTCCTCTTTGGGGCTCATTTCTGACCTGGGAGACAAGGCTGGTTCTCCAAGGACAGATACCAGAATTACCTCAGCCTTCAGTTGACCCAGCATAATTCTCAATGGATGGTTTATTTAGTTGCTCTTTCTGGGTCATTTGCTGAATCTCACCCCCCCACTTGGCGCTGTGCCCTGCAGTGCTGGCGTTTGAAGATGAATGAGAACTCTGCCCACACAGAGCTCAAAGCCAAGAGGCCAGGCCACATACCAACCACAGAGTGTGGGACCAGTGCAAGACAGAGGTGGACAACGGTTGGTTTCAAGAGCCAGAAAAAACCCTGATGAGGACCCCCAGGATGGGAAGTCCAGATCTGTGCCTTGGAATCCATGATACCCCAACTCGAGCCTCGGTTTCCTTATGGACAAAATGGGAGTTATACCTACCTTTACAGAGCTAATTGAGGCGGATAGTTCATAAGTATATAAAACACTTATCATGGTAACTGCACACAGTAGCTACTCAATAAATGAAGCTGTTCACATGCTCTCTCTCTCTCTCCACCTCTTCTACCATGACTTTGCAGTACTAGACTCACTTTGAACCAAGGATGTTCTAGGGTCTCCTCTGCGGTAGGCCTCCTGTAAGGAATGAGGATTAAGAAAGGATTCATCACTCATTACTTCAGTCAGTCAATAAACGTTTGGGAAAATGGGGCCTCTAAGGACTTGGAGGATTGGATGTCTAAGGGCAGAGGCTCGGGCAGCAGTAGGGGTGGCATGAGGGGACTCTGCAGGTCGGGGGGCCTCGGGGCCTCGTACTCACAGCCGGTCCTGCACCAGCACTTTGATGAGGAAGCCCCGGGCCTCCCTGCTCAGGCTCAGGAACGTGTTCTCCTCGAAGGCCACGTTGTAGTTTCGGATGTTCATTAATGTTGTCCGATCGTTTTCCCCAACAAACGGGGAGATTCCCGTCAGGCTGCAGGGGTGGAGAGAGCTGAGTGAGAAGTAGTCAGGGCCCTGGGGCTAAGCAAGAGATGACAGGTTGCCAGTGGGGACATAGGGCCAGGAAGAGGTGGAGGCCTGTGGGGCTGTGGGGCAGACAGAGGCTGGGTGAACCTGGACAGAGTCTTTTGGACTCTTGCCTGTCCTACTCCCACCACCACCCAGACAGGCAGCCACCAGGTCCCTGCCCTGGGCCCATGCTTAGAGGACCTGTTCTGTGCCTCCTCCAGCCGTGGCCTGTCCTTGAGGTAAGGAGTCTGTGCTGGGGGAGGGGGGGGGGAGCAAGGGGGCGGGGGGGGGATATGCCTCCCTGAGACTGAGCCTACTCCTTCCAGTCCCTGCTGGACAGTTAGGGCCTTGTACCCCCTGCCTAAATGGCACCGAGCCTGCTCTGACCTCTCCATCCAGCTGTGTGCCACCCCTTATGGAGGGGCACGGCGGTGGAAGTCAGACACACAGGCTGGGACATCCACATTCCTGCATATGCGGCCCCTTGCTGTGCAGGAAGCAGCAGGGGGTGTGGAAGAGAAGGGGTGGGCTGCACACCCCTAACTGCTCGCTAGCCCCAGACCCTATACATGTTGGGAGTGGGGGTGCTAAGAGACCGTTGGAGACTGGGGTTCTGAGTGCAGAGAGGTCCTTACCAGAGGAAGGCAACGACGCCCACGGGCCTGTTGGGGAAGGAGAGAGGGTCGGTGAGAGGACAGCCCACCTCCCACCAGAAGCGAGCCGTTCTCGGCTACCGAGAATCTAGCCAGAAGCATCCTGTGAACACTGGACAAATGGATTATGCAAGGATGCCTCCGCAGGGAAGACTCTGCACTCAAAGGTCCAGACATCCCTGGAGGAGTCCAGGGTCATGGCAGGGCCAGCCCAGGAAGCCATGAGAAATCTGGGAACCAAGGGACAATGCCTGCCTCTCTGCGGAGGGGGGGTGGGGGGTGGGGGGGGAAGAAAGGTTGGCTGCAGAGGGGGTGGCTGACCACCCAGGGGAAATAAGGAACCAAGGATGGACAGGCCTCGAGTGCCTGGGTCATCCCTGATTGATGAGGGGTAGGGGTAGGTAGCTATGTGGGCAAGGGACCCATGAGCAATGCCACCCGTCGACTGTCAGAGAAGGAACCTGGGCTTAGTAAAGCTCCTCTCTGCCAGTGAGCACCTCCCCAGCACCGAGGGCAGCTGCCCTGGCCCACCCCAGCCGCTCAGGATGCCAACATTACCAGATGTCAGTGACTCCAGATACAGGGGTCTGGTTGACAATCTCGGGCGCCACGAACTCAGGTGTGCCGTATTGGCAGTACTGGGGCTCTCCCGGAGTCACCTCCTGGGCGTTCCCGAAGTCACAGATCCTCACCTGCTCTTCACCCTCTGCACCATCCCACACCAGCAGGTTCTCAGGCTGCAGGACACGGGGCAAGGTGTGGGGGCTGAGTGAAAAGGGGAGGACACCCCGCTGCCTGGCTCCCACGGGGCTGCCTGCTCCCCACCCCCACCTGCACCTCACCTTGACATCCAGGTGCAGCACATGGTTCTGGTGCAGATAGCATATCCCCTCGAGCACCTGTAGCATGTAGGCCCGGATCTGTGGAAACAGGTGACCCAGAGTCCATGGGGGAAGGGTGGGGCATTATGTCTGATCACCACCAGGGCTGTGGCAAGAGGTGAGGCTGTGCCTGGTAGGTGGCCCTCAGATGGCTGGTGGAGGGGACAGGAACATAGGTTGGGTTGCTGAGACCCAGGGCCTCCATGTACAGCTACACAGTCAGGCACACCACGATGACAGAAGGGAGTGGTTTACGTGATAATGAATAGAAGTGTGCAGTGCACAACTTGCACACCCCCCGTGCCAGGACAGAGTGAGGCTGCATGGAGTCCAGGTGGAGCTCCTGCTGGGAGGAGTGTCTGAGGAATGTTGACGCAAGGAAGCCTGGGAAACACAGTAGGGACAGGGTAGGTCTGCTGAGATATGCAAGTCCCTGGGTGGGGGTCTGGTCTGATGCAGGAAAAGGGCTCTGCTGCCCTCCTACCACTGCTCTCCAGGACCACCCCTGGCCTATTCATGGGCACAGATGGCATGTCCAGGACCCACCCCTCAGCTCTCAGAGTTCAGGTGGGTGAACGCTAGTGCCCAACCTGACCCCTGCCACCCACTGCCCTCACCTCAGACTCACACACGGTGGGCTTCCTAGCCATTCGCTCCAGCAGCTCCTCTGTGCAGCTGTGCCCTGGATCAAGGAGAACAGTGACCAATGCCAACTGCCCAGCCCTCCCTGGGCAGTGCCCCCACTCCCAGAGCTCAAGTCAGATCCCAGCTCAGCGCAGGCTTCTCCTTTCCCTGAAAGCACATCTGGTACCAGTTAGCAACTGTGGCTTCACTCTTCCGCCTGTCACCTGGGTGCACAGATGGGACAACCCTGCTTGTACTCTCACTTGCTGCGGGCTCTCAGGCACGCCACCTAACCTCTCTGAGCCTACACTCCCTCAGGAGTAAAACGAGGATAACACCTCCCCCTGCCCACCCTGTGAGGTATTTGTAGGGATCAAGTTGGAGCAGACTTTTGTTGACTGTAGATGGGACTTCTTGGCTATTTGAGAATGACCTAGAAGGCACATGACACATAATAATCGGCCGTTTTGCTGAGGTTTGGATTCTACCAGTGCATACTGGAAGCCTGGTGTGAAGGACATGGTCACCCTGCTTGTGAGAGTGATAAGCCAACCACTCAGCAACCTTACCATAGTGTGCCTTTGTTTAACAAACTCTCTTACAAAGCTAAAGTCCGTTCTTTATGGTAACAGCCTCCTACTAAAGCCAAGTATTGATGCTCATCTGAAATGAGGTCACTTCAAATGTTCAGAAATGCAGTGCTGTACTGCATCTCGTGACCAAAATCGCATGCCTTTTCCGAGCCGTGTGACTTCTGGTGAGTTAGCCTCTCTGTACCTCCGTTTCATCATCTGTACAATGGGGATGATAAAAGTCCACGAGATACGTAGGTATACATGAAGATTAAATACATAAAACTCTTAGACCACCGTGAGGCACACATTAAGTTCTATGTACGTTTAAGCTAAAAGGGGAGGGGGGCAGAAAATGTTGGTTTTTAAATACTTCCACTCTATGAAGTATTTATAAGATGCCTTCAGAACTCCCAATTGTCAATGGGCACATTTTGTAAAGGTTGTCAGCCCCTCCCAACTGTCAATGGGACCACTTTGTTAAGTGTGAAACGTGTTACTAATTGGTTGTTACAGGAACCGGTCATTCAGGCAGGTATCCCCTAGACACCCAGCCTGTCCCAGGATACAGCTCGGTGACAATGACCAGCCCCCGACGCCTCTCGAAGGCCTCATGGAAGTAGAGGACACAGTCGTGCTGGAGCCGGGCTAGTAGCCGAGCCTCCCGCCACGCTGATGCCTTCGGCTTGGCCTGGCTGGGGATGAACTTGGCTGCAAACTCCAGGCCAGAGCTACGCTCCACCACACGCCGCAGGTAGGAGAAGGCACCCCTGGGTGACGACAGACGGAGAGGATGGGATTCAGGCATTGCTGCAACCCTGACTCTCCTCACCCTCCCGGCCACAGACCCAGCCTTTCTTGGCCCCCAGACACCACACCCCACACCTCGCCCACACCTGCCGATCTCCTGGTGGATGTCATAAAAGTCGCTGAGTCTCTTTCCTCGCTGTTCCTCGTCTTCCCGGGCCCCGTCTACCTCCATAGCTGTCTGAGCTGGGGAAGAGATGCCTGGTGTTAGATGGGAAGGGCAAGAGAGGAATGAGGGCAGAGACTGAGACAGGCAGGGTAGATGGAGAAGACAGAAGAGGAGCAAGAATGTTGGAAGCCTGAGTGGGGTGCTGGGGCTGGACGATGTGGGAGCCCAGGAGTGCAGGGCCGGATGAGTGACTCCTGGACAGGGGCTCATATGGGTCCCAGGGGGTGAGCACTTTGCCCCGGAGCTCCAGCCCACCTGAACGCACGGCCAGCTCTGCTTTGCAGAAGACTTCTCCAGCCAGGTTCCGGGCAGTGCAGGTGTAGACGCCTCCGTCCTGGGCGCCCGTGCTGAGCACCACCAGGGAGCACTCGTTCTCCTCGTACACGAAGCTCAGGTGGCTGCTCTCAGTCAGCAGCACCTCATCCTGCAGAGTCGGCCGTCACCTCCAGCCTGGGCCTGGCTTCACCTCCACCTGGGACCCAGCTTTACCTCCATGCCAGAGACCCAGTCTCACCCCTATCTCAGGGCCAGGAACCCCTTCTACCCCAATTAGTCCCCCGGCTCCTCACACACCCACCAGCATCACTCAGCACCTCTGGGTCCCACTTCCTTCTAAAACGCACCTCTGGCAGCACCCTTTCTCTTCTCTGCCTCAGCTCCCCTCCTCCTAAGGCTGCCTGGACCCCTCCCACACTCCCAGGAAATCCCTCCTTTTCCCCCCCAAGCTCCTGGCCAGCCCCAGGCTAGGCTTCCCCTGAGGCCATGGCGTCACCCTCTGACCTTGTACCACATGACGTCCGGCAGTGGTTTCCCCTCAACCACCACAGCGAAGCGAGCGGTTTCCCCAGCCCCCACCTCCACGTCCTCCATGATGGACTCAAATCGAGGGGCCTCTGAAACACAGGAGGTGGGAGTGGAGAAGGGAGGGGGACAGAATGTTGGGGTCACGTGGGCCTGCCTCCTCAGCAACTGAGGAAGAGGCCCTGGCCACCCAGGACCCCACCCCCCCACCCCCACTTCCCAGACCCCAGCACCTCACCCACTGGGGCTCTCAAACTCCTAGCCTGGACCAACCGCTCTCCCTGTAAATCCATACGTGATGTCCCCTGAATCTCAGAAAACCTAAGCCAGAGGGTGCAGGCTTGCTTTGTTTGACCCTCAGTGTTCATCTGCCAGCTTTGAAATGAGATTTTCACACACAAAAGAAATCTGGGTTTCCTGTCTCTCTTGACAAATCAGGCTGGCCATCCTGACGGAGCCTCTTCTCTCACTGCATTAATGGGCTGGCGTGGAGCGGCTCAATGCTGCCCCCTGTGGGCGATCGCCCTGTGCACAGTCCCATTGAGGGCTTCTCCGACTTTATTGTCCTGAGCTCCAAACTCCGCTGAGCCTGTGACCCTGAATCAAGTTCCCGATGGCATTGCCTCTGTCTTGAAGTTTTCTCTCCGAATCTTGTTTAAATGCTTAAGGGGCCCTCTGCCACCTTGGAGATGTAAGAACAAACTGGAGCCGAATCTCAGCTTAGTCCTCTCACATGTGACTGTGATTTTATTCTCTACACATATCATGCAATCGTATTATTTCCTTATGAAGTGGCTTCTAATTCTTGTGATGGAATTAAATACATATTCCAGTGTGCTTTGCAGAGGAGCCTGTAACTTCCTGGTGCCCTCTTCCTCAGCATGGCTGAGGATCTAGGCTTTAAGGAGAGTGGATGGTCAGGCCCTGGGGGAAGAGCAAGGGCACTGGGCAGGGACCCCCACCATCACAGGCACACTGCTTGGTTTTATATAGATAAAAGGGAAGGGCATCCTGGGAGTGGGGAAGATCTAGACCAGTGATGGCGAACCTTTTGAGCTCAGCGTGTCAGCATTTTGAAAAACCCTAACTTAACCCTGGTGCCGTGTCACATATAGAAATTTTTTGATATTTGCAACCATAGTAAAACAAAGATTTATATTTTTGATATTTATTTTATATATTTAAATGCCATTTAACAAAGAAAAATCAACCAAAAAAATGAGTTCGCGTGTCACCTCTGACACGCGTGTCATAGGTTCGCCATCACTGATCTAGAGTGAGGCGGATATGGAGGAAAGGGGCCGTTCCACCTGCCCTGCCTGGGGGGGGGGGGGGGCCCACAGTGGGAGAGAGTGTAGACCCAAGCCCCAGGCCTGTTCTCGCCCTGGTTGGCTGGAACACAGTCTCCGTGTCACTGTCCCAGCCAGGCCAGGCTGAGGGCTGGGTGGCCAGGGCCTCTCCGTATATCTGGAAAGAAAGATGAGCCCTGCAGATGGACCTATCAAGGAGCAAAGCGGTGGTTGAGGAGAAATTGACAGGGGATGGGGTGGGGAAAACTGGGCAAGGAAAAGACACGTAAAAGGGAGATCCAGGGCCCAGGTGATCTGAGGCCTCACCCCATCCACCAACCACAGGGGGGCAGTGTGGTTTCCCATCTTCTCATCCGCTCCTGCCACTTCTCTTCCACTTTAAAGATGCTCTCCCTCCCCTCTAGGAATCTGGCTTCTAGTGGGAGGGGAGGATGTGGGGGTGAGAGGGTAGGCTCTATAAAGGTCAAAGCACTAGGTGTATCAGATGAACTTGAACAATTCTTTAAAAGCACCAGAAAATGCCCATTTACCCACGAGAAGCTTGCCTGTGCTAACTAAAATGTCACTTTCTTTGCATTTGGTTGGAATTGTATCTGCTCAGCAGGTAACACTGTTTAGCTGGCGCTGGTCCGAAACCCTGAGTGGCAGTTACATATGTCTAGAGTTAATTAACAAACTGGAACACGAGGCAATTACTACTTAATGCATGCTGGGGGTTGAGGGACAACGTCTGTGATGGAGAAATTAAAAAAAAAAAGTCCTCACAGCAAAGGTTGGGAGGCTCTGTCCGACAAGTTGAGCCAAGGGCAGCCAGGATCCGGGAGCTGAGAGTCTCGTGATAAGATGCACTCCCTTGGGGTTTTTTTCTTTTTTAAAGTGATCTTGTCTCCCTATGCTTGTTACACTTGAGGTATTATTTCCTGTTGTGCTTAACACAGGAGCTAGGAGCACCCTCTGGCTTTGGAATTGGGTATCAGAGCTTGAATCCCAGTTCCTGGTCTTATTAGGTTGTGTGACTTTGAGCCTGTTATTTAGCACACTCTCCGAGCCTCAGTTTCCCCATCTGTAAAACAGGGATAATAACCAACCCCCCATCGCACAGGGTTGATGTAAATATTAAATGAGGAGTCACATGTGAGATACTTAGCACTAAGCCTGACACGTACTCGGTGCTCAATAAATATCTTATTAGTACTATTACTATTAGTGGTAGTAGTACTGGTATTAGTATGGCCACTAGATGGACAGGCTGAGAGGGAAGACCTAGGACTGGCCAATGGGTGTGTGCACCTGGGGGTGGGAGGAGAGGGAAGGGGGTCTGCTATCACCTACCTGCCAGTTCCAGTGTGACCGAACAGGCCTGTGTGCCGTGACGGTTGCGGGCAGTGCAGGTGATGGGCCCCATGTCCCGGCGGCTAACCCGGCAGATCCGAAGACAGTACTGGTCGTCATCTGGCTGACTCAACTCGTACACCCCTGCCCGTGCCTCTAGGAGGGCCCCTCGGCAGCTAAGGGACACACGAGAGGGAGGTCACCCAGGACCCAGCCACAGGAGGTCAGGCTAGGACGCCGGAACTGGACTGCCACTTGTGGGAATGGGGCATGCAAGGGAGGGCCCCACCTCCTCCAGACGACCTGGGCCTCCACGTGGTTGAAGGTGACGGTGACACTGGCAGGCTGTCCCTCCACCACATACACGATGTCTGGCTTGTCCAGCACAGCGGGCGCCTCCTCCAGGGGTGGGCCTGGGAGGAGGAGATCCTTAGGACCCACTGCTCCTCTAACCCTCCCCTCGCCCTGTGAGCTCCATTTTTACAGAGGAGGAAGCTGAGGCTCAGAGAGGGTCAGCACTTTGTCTAGGAGTCGCTTTCAGGAGTGAGAAGGAAGCACTTTGACGGTCAAGGTCGCACCCAGCCACACTGTTTCTGTCAAAGCTCTAATGTCCAGACCAGCCCTTGAGCTCCCACCGGGGGGACCCAGTTCTCTGGCCCAACAGCACCCATCCTCGCTCCAAAAGCACACCCAGGCTCACCTCGCTCCAGCAGCTGCACAGGCTCAGAAGGGGGTGATGGTTTGCTGCTGCTCTTGATGGTGGCACTGAGGACCCGGAAAATGTGGCGAACCCCCTTACGCAGCCCTGTGGCTGACCATCCAGGCTCCCGCAGGCCCGTGGCCAGCGCTGTCCACTGGTCTGAGCCCAGCACCTGGTGCTGCACGGTGTAGGTCAGGGCGTCCGGGTCTGATGGGGAGGCAGCTGTTAGAGACGGGCATGGCTGGGGCGTGCCCTGCTCCACCCCCATTCAGTTCTTCAGGACCCAGGAACTCATCATCAGTCTGCTCTGAGGACCTGCCTCAGTGTCTCTTGTTGCTTCTAATTGCTCTCCGTCTGCTCTTGCCCAACCACTGGCCTAGCCAGGCTAAGAGCCAACAAAGTGCCAGGCATGGGGTCCAGTTACAGGCATGGAGGGAGCTTGCCTTGTATCCCAATTCCTTGTTACTATCTGAGGTGGGGAAACTGAGGCAGAGAGCAGGAAGAGGTCATGGACAGGGAAGAAGAGCATATTCCCGGGAGCATGACCCAGGCACCCAATCCCTCTGAGAAAGAGACGGGAATGTGGTGGCTCCCTTTGTCTCCTCCTGACCCGGAGCTCCATCCACCATGCAGAGGAGGCAGTCAAGGCTGCTCCTAGCCGTGCTCCCAGCACTCCGTCCACGCCCCACCCCATATACTTCCCTGGGCCTTGCCCTCCCCTCCTGCCTCCCTTGGCACCCTTGCCCGAGCCAGCCCTGCCCATGCCTCCATCCCCACCACTCAGCCTTTGTGGCTCTGACCCACCGATGGCCATGTCCAGACTCCTGGGGGGGTTCCATGTGAGGGTGATCATCCTCCCAGTCACAGCCACCACCTGTGGGGCACCATCTGGGGGGCCTGGAACCACATCTGAAAGCCAAAGGTCAAGCATCCGCCGAGGCTTTTACATCCCAGTGGCTCCACAGGATCACCAGGCCTCAGGGGAGTGGGCTGGGGGCAGGGGCAAGGCCAGACGGCTCCCCAGGGGATGGAAGGAAGAGAGCTGGTGCAAAAGCCCCCTTCCCCAGCCCCCTGGGTAGGCCAGAGGCTAGGCTGTGCATGCAGCTGGCCGGGAGGGTGCCTGTCTCACCTGTGACATAGAGGTGGGCATAGCAGGCAGCTTTGCCCAGCTTGTTGGCGATGACACTCTTGTAGACACCAGCATGCTGAGGCCCCACAGCAGGGAACACCAATCGATGGACATCCCTGTCTGGGGGGGGGGGGCGGGCAGGGAGGGACAGTAACACTGGGCCTGAGCTAGGAGAATACTTTGAGGGGTGAGCCCATGCCACCCTAGAGCTGGCCCTTCACCCCCACCCACTCAGGGAGGAGAGGAGAGAGAAAGAATAGCAGACAAGCAAGAAGAGTGTCCATCGTGTGGCCAACCCTAGGTCCAGACTGCCAAGTCTACACCTGCAGCCCTGGCCCCTCTTGTCTGTCCTTCCACACTTCAGGCCCTGCAGCTTCTCACCTTCCTCCCACACCATCCACCAACTGTTGACTGCCCCTCTTCTTCGCACCTCTGGGGAGGGTGTCACACCTCTGTGTCGAAATTCTATCAAGACTTTGTTCCTAGGGCCCTTCCCATGGCCACTGGTGGTCCCATGGCCAGCACAGAGCTCCTGAGAGCGCTCCACTAGTGCAGCCCACACGCCACCTACAGCACTGCATGTTGCGTCTCAACCTGGAAATCTTAAAGGCACCTACTGCATAGGCACCTACTGACAGCAGCCAGAGCTGCTAAACTCCCACCTGGCCATATCCCCTGCTAGTCCTCCACCAGCAGGTCCCTGAACAAGCCAGCAGGTCCCTGAACAAGCCATAGGGGCTCCATCTTCAGGTCTTTGCTCACAAAATTCCTCCCTTCTGGAACATTCTTCTCTTACTAAGGCCTCCTTCTCCTTCAAGACATCGTTCAAGGGAGTGCCAGCCTGGGAAACCTCCTGTGCCATGACTGGGGGCCCCACTCTGCACCCCCATCCCTTCTCCCCTCCCCAGGACCTCCAGCAGAACCCACTACCTAGCATGCAGTAAGTGCCAAATATATGTATTACATTATAACCTCCAATAAGAGTGTTCTGCTATGCCAGCTACTTGACATACATTTCCCACCCCCATAATCCTTTCAAAAACCCTGCAAAATTATCCTTATTTTGCCAATGAGGTCAGAGACATTAATGGACTTGTCCAAGGTCACATGGCTAATAAATGATGGAGCAATGGCTTGAACTTGGTTCCCTCTGAATTCAAAGCTCTGTCCCTACGCCGTGTTCCCAGAATGATGATAAGGGAGCTGTCTCCAGCAGGGACAGGAAGAGGAAGAGGCCTACACTGTCCTCATTCATATAAGGGCTGTCCCCAAATACCCCTCCCTCTCTCAGTGGTTATCTCCCATGGAGCAGTCACCCATTTATCTCTACTGAGACTATTTATAAAGGAAGAGAAACCAAGGGCCACCACTGACCCCAGATACAAACAGAAGAGACGCCAGCTCAGATTCTGAGCCAGACACCCACCCAGGGCCTCAAGCAGATGGAGAGATGGGAAGCCTCTGGGCTGAGCAGACAACTGCTGTGGTGGAGGGCAGAGGGGAAGGACCTCAGTGGTGGCACTGGAAATGGGCACGGCCGACAGGGGGCATCCTGGTTAGGAGGTGGGAGCCAGAGTCAGATGGTCCTTGCCTGCCTTTGAGCAAGTCCTTGATCCTCCGTAAGCCTCAGTTTCCCCATCTTTAAACAGGAGTAATCGTAGCTGCCTCACAGGCCCGTGGCGAGATCATCCACGCCAGGCCTTTAGCGCTCAGGCCCTGGCACACATGAGGCGTTGAGTTTTGTCACACTGCTGCTGTCAGAGGAGGCCATCATGTGGCACAGGGTGGCACTGTCTGATGGGGGAGGTGGCCCTTTCCACTGGAGACTCTGATTCCTTCGAGGGTGGAACTGAAATTGTCCCATGGGATACACCCCAGGCTGAGGACACGGTCCCAAATACATCCCTCTGTTTTCCTCCAGCTCCTTCTTTACTTGCTATTCATGAATAGCCTTGGCCAAGCATCATCTCGGTGCCAGACACTGGCCGCATGGGCCTTTTCACTGAAATTTCTCTGCTTTACCAATGAGAATGACAATGGTGGCAAAAACAGTAGCAATAATCATAAGATATGGCACGTACTGACCACTTGCTATTTGCCACGCCCTAAGAGTTCTATATGTACTTGCTGATCTAATTCTCTAACAAACCGATTACAGATGAGGAAACTGAGGCACAGAGGGGTTCTGTAACCTGCCCACGATCAGTAGCAGGCTGTCTAGTAAGTGTCTAAGGAGCTACTGAGGTCCAGAGTCGTGACTCAGCAAGATGGGTGCTGTGTGGGCTCAAGGCAGGAGGCGACCTCATAGCCTTTCCGGGCTCCCCTCCACTAGATGCCTCATCCTTGACGAGGCTAGAAAAGGAAGGCCTGAGGGTGAGCACAGCGGAGGCCACCACAAGCAGAGAGGTGCTGGAGGGGACACTCCCCAGGGCCCCTTCCCCAGCACGTACACTGCATCATGCGCCGGTCATCACTGCTCTGGATACGGTGGCCATTGTGGAACCAGCTGATGGTGGGGTAGGGCAGGCCAGTCACCTGGCACTCCAGCATGGCCTCCTTGGCCAGTCCCACTTCCAGGTCCTGCAGCGGCCGCAGGAAGTCGGGCATGGACAGCCGCTCCAGCTCACCATGCTCTGGCTCCTCAGGGATGGATGGCATCTTCTCCAGCTTCGAGCTGCAAAAATCACAAAGCTGCCCAGAGTCCCAGAGCTTTGCCTCCTGTCACAGGCTGGGCTGGGGCCCCACAGAGGCAGCCCTGGCAGCTCCGGGCCCCAGGCAGTACCTGGGGCCAGTGGCGGCTGTCCGAGGCTCCTCCACGTAGAGCTGGGCCGAGCAGTGGGCCTGGCCATGGGTGTTGGTGGCACTGACTGCATAGAGCCCCTCGTCCTCACCGCCCACATGGGCAATGTGCAGCGAGTGCAGCCCCCCATCCTGCCGCAGACGCAAGTTCTCACTCTCCTCCACGGCGCGGCCTGGGGGGAGAGAGGCGGAATGCACAGCAGACTCAGAGAGGGGTCCTGCTCTCTGGCCCTTGGGGGTCCCCCAACATCTGCAGGGTGGAGGGCCATACCAAAATGAGTCCAGGTCACAGAGGGGGGTGGGGTGCCACTGATCTTGCAGTCGAAGCGGGCCGTGCGGCCTTCCAGCACCTCCAAATCCTCCAACATCCGTGTGAACAAGGGCGCCAGTGAGGGCCGCACCGTCAGCCGGGCGCTGCAGGTCAGCTCATCTGCAGGAGGGATCAGCACTGGGGCATCCAAGGCCACGGAACCCCAGGCACCCCGACCCACAGGCCCCCTGCCTGGGCCAGGAGCTGGAACCCAGCAAGGTCCCTAGGCACCGGAAGAGGCACTGGGCCTTCTCAGGAAGGTGGAGGTCGGCAAGGGTGGCAGAGGCTGCCATGGTGGCTAGGGATACGATGGGTGTCCAGGGCCGCAGCCCGGCTCTCCCGTCCTCAGCTCACCTTGCCCACCCAGGATGATGCTCAGCTCAGCAATAAGAGGGGCCTAGAAGGCAAGCCCGTTTCCTCCCCTGCACCCCTTTTCCCTCCCCTTGGAATTCTCCTCTGCACCTGGGTTGTGCCCATACTTCCTCCCACCACCCCAGACATAAAGCACATGCCCCTTCACCCCACTCCACTGCCCCACAGACAATCTTCTGGGGGAAGTGACAGCACCTGATGCTGACCTGGTCCCTTCCTGCCTACAAGGTCCCTCCAGGGTCACCTTAGGTGCTCATTACCACAACCTGGCGAGGCATTGTCACTCCTCAAACGAGGACGGGGACCAGGTCAGAGAAGTCATTCATAAAACGAATGGCTGACATTTATTAGGTGGCACCCTTCGCCAGGCACTGTGCTTTGTTCTTTACATTCATTATCTCATTAATCCTACCGATCCCCGAGCCAGGCATTATCATGATCCCGTTTTTACACATGAATAGTCTGAGCTCAGAGAGATGAAGTGACTTGTCCAAAGTCAGGCGGCTGGTATGCGACAGGGCAGGAACTGGAACCCACACCCAGGTTTGTCTGCCACGCCTCAGCAGAGGGGCTCCTACAGGAACAGCAGCTGACACTGACACGGGAGGCCCTTCCTGCCAGGCGCTGCTCTAGGTGCTACTCCAAGTGCGTTTACTGAGGCAGGTGTATGGCACCCTCTCCCATCTATCACTCTTCCCCCAGAATCCTTCCCCTCCAGGGACCTCCCTCCAGCTCTTGGGGGCCCGAGGCAGCCCTGGGGCCCAAGTGGGCAGTTACCTTTGGCCGTGCTGAGCTTGCAGGTGTAGACGCCACTGTCGTCCTCGTGCACGGAGGTGAGCAGCAGCTTGCATTTCCGACCATCGAAATGCATCTTGCATTTGAGCAGCGCGGGCTGCAGCAGGCGGCCACGGCACAGCCAGTCCACCTCCACGTCCGCAGGACCCGCCACCAGGCACTCAAACAGCGCCATTTCCCCGGCCCCCACGTCCACGTCCTGCAGGGGGGCCAGCACGGCCAGGGACCGGCTCTCAGGGTGTGCTGGGGGAGCGGCCATGGGGAGTAGGCACACATGGAGCGGAGACACGGGGTGAGGGAGACACACACGCACACAGAGAGAGACAGACAGACACAGAGAGAGAGATGCATTTTGTTCCTTTGGAGACACAGGGAAAGCCCACCCTCATGGCCGGCCAGGTCTCAGGCCTGGCTTCAGGACAGCGACCCCGGCTGGGCCAGGGAGGGGGAACTCGGGAAGCGGCAGGCATCAAGGACAGTGAAACTGAGGGCAGAGGCGGCGGCGGAAAATAATACCACACAGCACACCAGCTGGGTACAAACTGGACTTTATTTGAACTAAGAAACAGGTACTGCTGAGTATCTCCACACCCTCGACAGGAGGCCCCTACTCCCATGTCAAGTCTGGCTAACTCCCTCGCTCCCAGACAGAGCCTCCCGGACTCTGACAGTGAAAGGAGGAGCCCCACGTGGGCCCTACACCTGCCCACAGCCAGGACTCAGCCAGGCCTCCTCATCGGCGCAGGGCCGGGGCCTCTGGCTTCTGGCCCCTTGTGAAATAGTGTGGTACCGCTGAAAACCCGTTCCTGGAATGGTCAGTGCTCTGCCCCCACTTCATGAGCTCCTTGTCAACAGCCCCGACCCCTCTGGGCCCCCCACCTTGCAGGTGCTATGCCCTGTCTCTCCCCCTCTGCTTTATCCCACGCCAGCTTGGAGGCACCTTTCCTGACTGTCACAGACACACAGACAGACAAACGGAGAGACAGACAGGGCCTGTAGCAGTGGCAGCACATGCACTCCCTGGGTGCTCCCCTGCAGGGAGAGACTGGGAAGGGGTCTTGATAGTCCTCATGGCCACCCCTTCCTGGCACTCAGTCCATGTGGGGGCTCCTAGCCAGCCCAGTCATATGTCCACTCGGGGAGGGAGGGGTCCACAGGGGCCCAGGGCTACCCCAGGGTGCTGCACGGGAAAGGGAGGGGAGGGGAGGGGAGGCTGGAACAGGGTCCAGGCCGGCAGGGTCTGTGGGCAGGAGGCAGTGAAACACAGCGAGGTCCGAGAGGTGCCTGAGACAGGGCGCGGCTCGGAGGGTAGCGGGGGGAGCGCAGTCGGCCCCCTGAGCTCACTCGCCTGTGTACAGACAAAAACCTCAGTCAGCAAGCGGCAGGTTAGTGCAGTACACGCACACGCACACGCACACACAAGCACGCACGCAGCCTGGCTAGGCCCCCAGCACAGACAGCTGTCTCTCCAACTGCCAGGGCAGCACTGCCACGTTCAGCTCCCCCAAGCGCAGCCCTGGGGTGGGGGGCAGGCAGCCAGCCAGAGGCCGGGGCCCTGGGTTTTCTGGGCAGGTAGAGGCCCTGGGCAACCAGGGGAGAGGCATTCACAGCTACCAGGAGCACCCCAAAACCTGAGAGATGTTGGGGAGAATTCCAAAGAGAGAGAAGCACCGAGACATGGGTTAGCACAGAGAAGCAGGGCAGACCAGACCCTGGAGGGGCAGGCGCAGGGCAGGGAATGGGGCCAGGCTGTGGGGATGGGGGTTGGGGGTGGGGATGGAAGAATTTAGAGACTGAGGAGGAGGTGACCCCAGGAACAGGAGGCACAGGGTCCAGTAACTGAGGCAGGCGGGGCCCATTGGGGCCACCATGACTGTGAGGGTCTGGGCTCCAGCAGGGTCTGGGGATCCTGGAAGCTCTCAAAACTGGCCTCTGCCAGGAAGGGGGGACGATGGCTGAGTGCGGAGCTGAGAAGGGGTTCCCAGCCCTGAACTGTCCACAGGGAAAGGGGAGGTGAAAGGAGAGGCAAATGGCTAGTCCTTGGGAAGAAAAGCACTGCCCCCCAGGGCAGCCTGGCTAGGACCTGCTACCCTTAGGCCCGACTCTGGGACCCAGCCCTCTCCACATTTCACAGCTCTGCTCACCCTGGCACCCCTGGGTCCCGGCAATGCTCCATGCCCAAGTCACCCCAAGGGCCCCTCCGAACGGGTCCAACTATCAGACATTCCCACTGCCACCCCAGCCACAGTAGATCTGCACAGCAATGAGATGGGTAATAGGAGAGAGGGGAGTGGGTGTGAGGGAGGGGCCTGGGAAGGGCAAGGTGACAAAGGCGTAGAAGAGTGAAGGAGAGGATGGCTGGTGGCAGGAACCAGGTCTCTGGCTGGCATCAGGGGCAGGTATGCCTGAGCACGGGGAAGGCAGTACTGGGCAGTAAGCTGAGCACTGGGCAAGTTGCCATGTGGCCTGGGAAAGTCACTTTCCCTCTCTGGACCTCAGTTTCCCCAACCACAACATGAGCAGCTAAACTTGGGGCTCTGGAGGCCCTTTCAGTTCTGGCATCCCGTAACTAAGGTTCTGTGAACATTGGCAATTGGGCAGGAATGAGGCCGGGGCCAGATGTGTGTGTGTGTTGTGGGCGGGGTGGGGGGGGTGGGATGTACTCACCTCGGACCTCCAGGCGGGCCTCGCACTGCCGAGCGCCATACTCGTTAACTGCTTTGCAAGTGTAGAAGCCAGCGTCACCCCGCTCGGCGGCCAGGATCCGCAGCCGGCACAGCCCACCCTCTGCCTCCTCCGCGAAGCGCCGCTTGTCTGGGCGCACGGGCTGGCGGTTCCTCAGCCTGTCAGAGGGGCAAGAACTCAGTCCCAGGGCCCAGGGTCCTCACCTGCACATGAGGAAGTGGGGGCACAGCGCCAAGCTGGCCTCTCCTCCCTGCTCATCATTTGTCCCCTCCCCAGATCTGTCCCACTGACCATGGGCACCCTGGGTTACGGATAGGTTTTCACCCTGACTCCGCATCCCACCTTCACCAGGAACTTCCGGATCACGTCTGCCCACCTGGGTACCTCCTTTCTAGGAACCGAACTGCACCTAGAGTGGCGCCATGCTCTTCAGCTCTTAATAGCTCTTAAATTTCCTCATGTCTTATTTCTATTTCTTTATAATGAACAGGTAGCTTCCCTACTTCCCCAAAGGGACATGAAATAGCTTACAATGTTAAGAAATCACACTGGGGACGAGACAATCAATTAAAAATGAAAGTAGAACCCAAACCAATAAAAACAATAACCTGAGCGAACTAATCAAAGCTCCAGGCACCTGGGATGTAGCACCACAGATGAGGCCCGAATTTAACGCCAGGCTCTGGCAGCTCAGAAACAAATGGTTCCACCTGGGCTTAGCACAGGGCTGGGCGCAGAGAAGGCCTCAAAAATCAGCCTGTGGTCAACGGACTGGAGGCGGGCAGCCTCCTCAGGGAGTGAGATGGCTCCAGGCTGTTCGGCCCAAGAGAACAAACCCCGCCCCCAGGAGGAAGCCCCCAGCGAGCCCTGAACACAGGCCAGGCGGGGACAGAGGCAGGGGCAGGTTGGGGGAGTGGCACCACTGTACCTGGGATGTGGCCCCCTACAGATCAAGGGCAAGTCCACCAAGGGCCCAGACCCCTCTGCCCAGAGCCAGATCTCACAGGGCCGGGCCTGGGAGGAGGGGAGCTGGCAGGTGGTGGTTAGCTGATACTCACCAGGAGACCACTGGCTTGGGCTCCCCCTGCACACGGATGCTCATGGTAACATCTTGGCCTTCTCTTACTGACTGGTCCATAAGGGAGACCTGCAGGGAACCCCAAAGTGTCAGGGCCCAGCTGCAGCTCCTGGGGGGTTAGGGGATCTGGGACAGAGGCCTCTTCCACCCCAGTCTGACCTAGGCTGGCTCTCAGTTAATGGGGTCAAGCTCCAGGCTGTGCTAGAACCTGGTATGGCCCCAAGAACAAGAGGCCACACAAAGGAATGGAGGTACTCAGGAGGCTGAGGCTGAGGCTGGGCTCCGTGATCTGACCTTGAAGGTGGGGGGCGCCTTGGAGCCAGCATCTGAGGAGCGGCGGTTCTGGCTGGGACTGAGCTTCATGGTGGGGGGTTGGGGCCAGGTCTCCCCAGGCTCCGGGAACTCCTCTGGGGGGCTCAGGTACTCCTCGTCAGAGGTGATGGGGCTGCTGAAAGGGGATGTGGACCCACCTGGAGGAGAGACAGAGGAGAGACGGTGGCACATAGAGGGATGCCAGGAGAGGAGGGAGGGCAGAGAGACTGAGAGAGCTATACATGGATCAGCCTGAGATCAAGGACCTGATAAGGTCTGGAATGGGAGCCCAGGAGGTGAGACGACGGTTTCTGCAGGCTGGCCCAGCCCTGACCTCACTTCCCGGGGCTTGCTTGCTATATGACCTTGCCAGGCATTTCCTTCCCTGAGTCCCTGAATCCTGTCACAGACTCTCCTAATACTGACCCTGCTGATCCTCCTGAGCAGGGGAACCAGAGGGAATGGCCTGGGGCCAAGGATTCAGGCAGCAGAGATTCAGGCAGCTCCTGGGCCTTGTGGGAGACGTGGAATTCCACTGGAGCCCGGAACCCACACATTCCTGGCACAGGATCGCAGGCTCCTAATGCAGGTGGTTCACGTCTCTGGACCCCAGGGTGGCACAACTAGGACACCCGTATCTTGGGTGAACTGGGCCTAGTGCAGAGGAACACACACCTCAGACAAGCCCCATCCTGACCTCAGTGCCAGGGCCAATGAGGTGGCACTGTTCAGCCTGCCCTTCCCCCTCTCCGTTCTCAGCTTCCTGCCCCAGATACCCCAGGAGCACCTGTTGGCCCCAGACCTAAAGCATGGGCCCCCAAACTCTCAGGAGATGGGAGAGCAGAGTTTGAGTCATCCACAAAGAAAGGCAGCTGGGGAAGAGGAAGGGGCACCAGTGTGTCTTTGGGGGAGGGGTGTCTCCAGGGCCCTGACGCCCTCCCCTGCAACTGGCCAGGGGCCCAGCTTCACTGAGCTGGCTTCTCGCCGACTGCCAAATACAGACATGAATCTGCCACAGCCCCCTGGCCCCTCCTCCTGGTTCCCCCACCCCAAGTCCCTGTGGCCCGGCCCCCCACAGGGCTGCACCCCAACTCACCTGGAGACTCTGTCACACAGACCCCAGCCTGAGCCTGTCCCGAAGGCTCTGCCCTGGCACCAGGCCTTTCCGCTGCCTGCCCACTACCCACCCCGCCAGGTTCCCCAGAGAGCAAGAGCCCAGCCTGCCCAGCCCCACTCACTCGCTGACCCTGCTGAGGCTCTGCACGAGATCCTGGGGGAGGGGAAGGGAAAGGTGGGGGCTGGCCTGGTGGGGACAGGCTGGGTGGCAGGCAGGCAGCTGGCTGGGGAGGTGGTGCCTGCTGAGACCACAGGCAGCCTGGGCCTGGAGTGGAGGGGGAGGAGAGGGGAGGGGCAGAGTGCTGGCGGCTGTATTTAGCCACCCTGCTCATTCCCCAGCAGCAGGATCTGCCTTTTCTCTCCTTACAGCTCTGGACCCTGACAAGCACAAAGCCCCCTCAGTGGCGCCTCGATTCAAAGCACCAAGGCCTTGGTCCCCAGGGGAAGATGGGGTGGCACTGCATGCAGCATCCAAGACGCTTGCCCTGACCCACTCATTTCAACGAGTTTCACCAGAGGAGGTACCGAAGGGCAAACAGCCCCGATGAGGCCCCTTGCTCTGACCAAACCACTGAGGATTCCCAACAAGCCTCAAATGCTACGAGCCAGGCCACAGCCTGTTTTCTCTGGTGCTGAGAATCCGAGAACTCGGCTCCCAGAGAAGCCCCTCTCCATCTGAGTGGGCCCAGAATCCCATCTCTGTCTCCCCATCCTGCCATGGCAGGTTTGGCCCAGCAGCCGCCACAGGACACTGGGCCTGTGCCCAACACTCTTCCTACGGCGCTACCAGTTGGCAGTTGTCCCTCCCCTCAACAGCCCCACCAGGGCCAGCAGTCAGGAGGCAGGGGCTGCTTCCCCCACAGCCCCTCACTACCAGCACCCATCTGTATTTGGGGCGAGGAAGGGGCTTGGAGACAGAGCAGGGGAGCTGGGGAGCTGTGGAGAGGTCACATGTCCTCTCCCTCCTCCTATCACCCCTGCCCGGGGCCACATTCCCAAGCTATGACCTGTGTTTCCCATCATTGCCAGTGAAGGGGGGGGACTGGCAGAAGAGGGGGTTCACCATTCAGGCTGGCTGTCTTGAGGTGGGGGTGGGGAAGAAGCCAGAATGGTCACTTGGTGAGTATCTGCTCGGGGCTTGCCATTAGCTGATGCTGAGATCACAGGCATGGCCTCTGAAGGCAGGCACCCCCTCCCCTCTGTGGATCCTGGTGACCTCTTGAGTCACCTCCAGGTTGGACAGCGCTGCGGCCACTGGCCCAGGGAGGGAGAGGAGAGATTAAAGCTGATGGGTAAAGTTTGCAGGGATCCTCAGAGCCCTCTGGTGGTGGCTAGGGGAACAGCACCTTGGGGCATCCAGTGGCCAAGCTAATCAGAGTCCTTCAAGCCCCTCAGAGAGGGGGCTGTCAGTGCAGCCTAAGCAGGAGGCTCCGGCTACAGAAGGGCCAGAACTGGGCCTCTCTGAAACCAGACCATGGCCCCCACCCCTCTGGGCTCCCAAAATTGTGTGGCCAAGGAGGCTGATCAGGGATCTCTGTCTCCAGATCCCAGAGCCGCTACGGTTCCACACCAGGCTCTGGTACCACCCCTTTTCATTGGCCCCTCCACCAAAACCATCTTTGTAGCTGGTGTCTACATCCCAGCTGTGCTCCACCCACAAGGCCAGCTCTCATTGTGGGAAACAGTTACCCCAGCCAGGGAATGGGGAGCAGGTACCCCCCAAACCCAAGATGCACAAATGTCCACCATGTAGGTGCTGCCCCTGCACACCCCACCACTGCAAAACACACTGACTCTGCATATGTCTGCCTGTCAACACTGCTCCCAGTCAAAGTACTGGCATTGGGGAGCCCACAAGTCAGGGTCCCCTACAGGACAGGCGTCACGTGAGGCACTCTACCTCAGGGCTTCTCAGAATGGTCCTTGAACCACCCACAGCAGGACCACCTGGGAGCCTGTTTAAACTATAAATTCCTGGGCCTCACTCTAACGCCCCAAAATTAGATTTCTTGAAACAGAGGTCAGGAAATTGCATTTTCAAAAGCACCTCGTTGATTCTTATGCACATGAAAGTTTAGGGACCTACACAATCCCCATGTGAGAAGGAGGATAACCCTAAGAGGTGGTATTACTCAGTCCCATCTCACTCAGCCACCAAATTTCAGCGCAGGGTTCTGAACCTCAGAGGTCTGGCTCCATAGCTCATGTGTTCCCACTATACCACCTGGCCTCCCACCTGTTCAAGGTCCCTCACTCTAGGGCAGTGGTTCTCAAACTCACCATTCACCAGAATTACCCACAAAGCTCCTTAAAACACAGATTGCTGGGACCTGCCCTGAGTCTCTGATTCACTAGGTCAGGGCTGGAGCCGATGATGTGCGTCTCTAACACATTCCCTAGGTCAGTGGTCGGCAAACTCATTAGTCAACAGAGCCACATATCAACAGTACAACGATTGAAATTTCTTTTGAGAGCCAAATTTTTTAAACTTAAACTATATAGGTAGGTACATTGTTATTAACTTAATTAGGGTACTTCCTAAGGCTTAGGAAGAGCCACACTCAAGGGGCCAAAGAGCCACATGTGGCTCGGCAAACTGCGGCTCACGAGTCACATGCGGCTCTTTGGCCCCTTGAGTGTGGCTCTTCCACAAAACACCAACTTCTGCGCATGGGCCACGAAATTTCAACCCACACTGTACGTGCGCACCCGCACGTGGTATTTTGGGCCTAGGTCAGTGATGGCGAACCTATGACACGCGAACTCATTTTTTTTGGTTGATTTTTCTTTGTTAAATGGCATTTAAATATGTAAAATAAATATCAAAAATATAAGTCTTTGTTTTACTATGGTTGCAAATATCAAAAAATTTCTATATGTGACACGGCACCAGAGTTAAGTTAGGGTTTTTCAAAAGGCTGACACGCCGAGCTCAAAAGGTTCGCCATCACTGGCCTAGGTGATGCTGATACTCCTGGTCTGGAGACAACACTTTGAGAACCACTGCTCTATGGTCTCCTCTGGCCCCCAACCTCCACTCCCAGGCAGGTCCTCATTACCCTTTGCTGATGTGTGTCTCACCCAGCCTCTGTGTGTTATCCAGGTTGTTCTGGGGACTTGGAAAGTCCTGGGGATCTCTACCCCCCCACTGTCAGCTCACACACAGACCTTGACTGTCCAGGAAGACCACCAGGTATGGCTGCAAGGGCTAAGAGTAGCCAAAGCACAGCCATAACCTGAGGAGCCTTCTGGCTGATGGGATGACAAGCCAGATACACAGAGGACTATAAGAGCAAACAGGAACAAGGAAGGTGGCAAGAGAGGGGCAGAGAAGGCCACAGTAGTGAAGACAGTAGGACATTACTTCTGGCCCAGGGAAGAAGAGGGGACTGAGGGAAGGGGTGTATTAGAATGAAGAGTTAGTTCCATTTAAGCAGAAAAAAAGCAATCCTGGAAGAGGAAACCACGGGAGCAAATGTTCAGAGGCAGAAAGCGTGTGCAGAGAACTGCAGCTCAACCCCTCCGGCTACAGAACTAGGTAAAGAAGAAAGAAATGGGACGTGACCACGTTAGAGCAGGTCCCTCCCGCTGCCTCAGCTGCCTCCAGCCACCCTCAGATCAACTTCAGGTGCGGAAGGTGGAGGCCAGCTTCCGTGCCTTCCCTGAGGGGTAAGGGAGCTCCTTGAGATGTCTGTGGAAGGGAGTATGTGCTGGAGGTTCACAGCCTTGCACGTGGCCTGGCCGCTCACAGCCGACTGTCCACCCGCACCGTCCCAGTGGGTTTCTCCAGGGGCGATTTGTTTAAGTGCCTGCTGTGCTAATCCCACCATGAAAGGGAGGGAAAAGGAGAAGAGTTGTGCTGAGAATGTTTTAATTTTGGTTTAAAAATAGGCAAGGAAGCAGAGAGCATTTCACATGGTCAGCCTGACCTAGGCATGGAAGTGGTTCAGCTCTTACGTATGGTTATTTAGGATTGCTGTTTAAGATTGCCCCATGTTAGATCAGCGTTGGCACCCACAGTAAATTAGGTCCACGTTCCTCTGATAGGCTGTGTGTGAGGACCCCCGTTCTGAGGTAGCAGCCCTGGGGGGACACCTATTGGGGCAGACCTGCTTCTGGGAGACAGAAAAGGGGAGGGAGGGCTGAGTCTAGTCAAGAGACCACACTGCTTTCTTTCGATGCTGTCCAGACCCCATCAAGGATGGGCCATGAGGCCATGTGGCATTCTAAGATCCCTTCCACAGGCAGCCACTGACTTCATGAGTAAGAATCTGCCAGGGCCAGGGCCAGGCCAGGAGAAGGGGGCAGACAGGAGTGCCATAATTTCTTCCTTTCCTTTTATATTCATGACCTCCCCAAACCACCTCTTTTCTGTTGTGATCATGTCATCATACAGATGGGACCAAAATGAGCTTTGATAAGCCATTTCCTCTGGACCAAAGGTCCTTAGCTGAATCTTCAGCTCTGCAGAGCCTCACAAATCTGACTGAGAAACCAGCTCAGGGGTTATGATCCTTGCTGTTCAGATGAGGACATGGTGGCCAGCTAAAGCGAAGTGGAGAGGCCAAGGTCTCTGCTGGAAAATAGATGAGACCTGTGCTTGAGGGGAGGACTGACAGCAGCAGGACAGAGGCCTGGGTACATGAAGCCACCCATGTCCCCCTTCCTCCTGACCAGAGCCCTTAGTGGGGTGAGCCAACTGTGTGCACACTGGGCACACAGGGAAACAAAGCAGGAGGCGTGGGAGGGCAAGAAAGGAAAGAAAACCCAAGGGCATCGGCAGTCTCTACTCCCACCCCCACCGCATGAGCTCATGAGCACAATTCTACCTGAACCCCGAACCTCTTGAGTAGAGGAAAGGGGACAGTATGTGCAGTGGTTAGGAGTGCAGACTTGGGAGATCCAAGGGCAGAGCTTCTAATCACCACCCAGCTTCCCACGGACCCTATGCTCCTATGGCTGAGCAAATAGGGCAACCACTACCCACTGAGATGATTTAAATGTACATTAATGAAAATGAAATAAAAAATTCAGCCCTTCAGTCACACTAACCACATTTCAAGTGCTCAATACCCACATGTGGCTAGTGGCTACCATATTGGACTGTGCACGTATATAGTAGTTCTATCACAGAAATTTCTATTGATCAGCACTACTCTAGAGCACTTTGCTAAAGCTTTCCAAGTCTCAGTTCCCTCATCTGTAACATGGGCATAATAATAGAACCTACCTCACAGGGCGGATTAAATGTGAGAACCCAGTCAACACAGGGCCTGGTATATACAAAGTGCTCAGGAGATGCTGACTAGTCATGTTATTTTCATCTGCCATCACACTGTTTATTTTTCCATAGGTGAGTATTTCACTCACCTCTTGCTTACAGCACCCCAGGCAGATTACAGATGCGAAGTAGACATGCTGGCCTCGTGCTATCTCTGTGTCGCTTTACTCTCCACATTTTCACCTTCCCATCTATGAACTGGGAATGTCACCACCCATCATGTCCCTCCAAGAAATATACAGCTGACCCCGAATAACAGGGGTTTGAACTGCAATGGTTCCTCATACACGAATGTTTCTCATTGATCTGAGCGGTTCAAACCCCCGTTGTTCAAGGGTCACTTGGCAGTCGGGAATCTGCCCACAGGGAGGCCCAACTAAAGTTAAATGAGGGTTTTCTACTACAATGGCAGTAAGTGCCCCTGACCCCCAAATTGTTCAAGGGTCAACTGTACATGTGTGACGTAGCTCAAGTAAGGGAAGAGACGTGAAAGGGTTTGGGAGAAAGCATATGGCACTCCACAAACACACGAAACTATTTCAAGAGATGTAGCACTTGGCACCCAGTTGGGACTCAATAAATGCCTGTGTGATGGATGCAGGCAGCTGTGAAACGCTTAGCTTCAGTTAAGCACTTCTCACACCCTCCAACCCACTGTCCCGATACACACACCCTTTGGGAGCTCAACTCAGCAGTTATTCAGTGAGGTGGGGCAGGATGAGAGGGATCCAGGGCTGGGTGGGGCTGCCAGAGCTGGTGAGGACATTGTGCCCCCCAAACCACAGCACCAGGGTAACTACATTCTCTAGTTACCAATTCCCTGTTCCAGTGGTTCCCAAACAGGAACTGAGATCTGTGAGCCCTCAAAAGCAGGTCCTGTTGGGGTGGGAACCCCAAGAGGGCACTGGGCAGCCAGTCCTGGTTACCAAAGGGGTTGGTGAGGAGCAAGAAAAGAAGGCGGTTCCACAAGGCCTCTTCCCAAAATACACTAGACACTCCCTCCCTCACCCTACTCCTACCCCACCCACAGCCACACTGTGGAACACCCTTCCCTAGCCCCCCTCCCACTCCCTACAAACTCCAGGCCTGGGACCCCAGCCTTTGCCAAATGTCTGTGCCACCCACTGGTTCCGCCCATTCCTGCTGCTCTCCCGGTCCACTGGCCTCCATCCAGCTGCTCTGGACCAAACAGAGCCTTGTAGGGTAAGAAAGTCTGCTTCCTCCACAAGAGCTGAGTCTGGACCCACGTGCCTTCCCCTCAAGCCCTGGAGCCTGGAGCCAGTCTGACTTTCATGAGCTATTCTCTGGGTGCACATCCTAGCTTCCCGGGGTGGAGAGGCACAGAGATGCTGTGACATCTGGGAAATGTGGGGGGTTGGGGGCTGCGGGCTTGGCAAGGGCAGGGAGGAGACTCCAAGGCATAAACAGTATGAAGAAAGGAAAGAAACGGGAAAGACAGCTTCCCGAAGCTTCGAGGGAACCTGAGCTCCCGTGCACAACAGCATCACTTAATAATGCTAACAACTAGCATTTGTCTATAGCTTTACAGTTCATAAAGCTCGTTCACACATTTGCTTTCTTTCTTGCGAATAGTATAATTATCTCTGGTTTACAAATGAGGAAACTGCAACTGCAGGGAGGTTCAGCAGGCAAAGACGAGTGCAGACAGCTGCCTTGCCCCAAGCCTCCTTCCCAACCATAAAAGGCTCCCAAATGGCCCTGCGCCAGTATTGGGGAACACCCCCCACCCCACTCCTTGCCAAACAGTCCAAGCCAGGTATTGACCAGAGTCCTGGACCCATGCCTGGGCCCCCTAAGCGGAGCTGGGAGCTGAATCAGAAGCAGATCCCAGAGGTGATGGAAGGAGGGAAGCACACAGTGGAGGGACAGTATGTTTCCTTGAGGTGGGAGGGGCAAGGGGAAGGAGAGAGCCTTAAATCTGAGCTTCTGGGAGGGGTCTGTAAGCTAAGACCTGCTCTTCTGCAAAGCGAGAGAGGTACAACCATAAGGATGTAAATCAGGACTTGGACTCAGGTCAGATACCACTAAGAACTCCCTGATGGTGGATGGTGAAGGTGCCGAGGCCCTGACCCACAGCAAGACAGGCTCTGTAATCTTGTCACCAGCAGGGCTGAGTGAAAGAAGGGACAGAACAGCGTGTTCTCTCGCCCCTCCTGGCATGCCCACCCCTCCCGCTGCCAGTCTAAATCCCAGCCTCCTTCAGGGCCCTCATGTCTCTCCATCCAGCATCCCACAACATTGACCAACTGCTCGACTCTCCTAGGGACAGGGTTGATCTGCCCTGCACTTTCTTCCAACCTAAGTCCTCTGGTGGAGGGTCATCACCCAGGGTAATCTCCTTGAGGGTTGAGTCTGCATCTTTTGCTTCTGGAATGCCCCTTTCCCAGCCTCAATTCCTCCCACCCTCACTGCCCAGGGTCAACACATTGTCGGGCCCAGTGACCTGAACGAGTTGAACAGGCCATGGCCATGGACATGGACACCAGTCAAGCCCTACCCTGAACCTGAAAGCAACTGGGCTTAAACCCAAAGGAAGTAGTCTGACACCAAGTGAGGACTTTCATAAAAATAGAAAACAGAGCAGCCTCAGCCACTGCCACCTCCCAAGAAGTGGTCTCAGCTGGACCCTCTTTAGAGCTTTGGGTTCAACAGAAGGAACAAGGGAGGGAGGAAAGCACTTAAAAGCATCTCTCTTAAGGGAGCAGGGGGGCTGCTCTAGAGAGGAAATGACCTCAGAGGTTCCTGATGGTTTTTAAGCCCTTTGAGCAGGGAGATTCTTTTTCTCTGAGACTCACGGATAATTTGCTTTCCCCATAGGACCCTGTTCAGGGAAATGCCATGAAAGGATGGCATTTAGAGGATGTCTAAAGACAAATTCCAGGGACTTCATGAATTGGCCAGCCTGCTGTGTGCCTTGGGAATTTGGCCTCTGTCCTGAGGCCAAGGCCATTTAAAATGCTTCCACCAGAGCAACAGACACAGGAACAAACTGCACAGTGGTTGAAAGTTGAGCTCTAGGCTGGGAGGAGAAGGGGACCTAGGCCTACAGGGGTCACTGCTCACCCCACCCGGCCCTGGGCCCACAGGCTCCCTACCAGGTCTCACAGCCAGCGTGGCAGCGCAGCTGGCCTGGCCCAGCTCATTGGTAGCGATGGCCGTGTAGTTCCCAGCATCAGCCGACCGGGCCTCCCGAAGCAGCAGGGTGTGCCGCTCGCCCTCCGCCCGGATGAGAAGGTGGCCATCACTGCGCAGCGTGGACCCATCCTTCTGCCAGGACACTGGGGGGAAGCAGCAGGGTGCCCAGTCACCATGGCCCACAGGGGCCCACTGGGACAAATCTCCCTCCACCCCACACCCCACACAGAGCCCAAGCCACTCCTCTCCCCACCCTAGGGAATTTGGAGGACTCCCCTCACTCACAGAAGCCCAGGCCTGCCCTCCCCTTTCTCAGGGGATTCTGGGGAAGCTCTAACACATGCAGGAGTCAGGAGAGCCCAGCCCGGGAGCAGATGAGCTTCCCTCTTCACCCACCCCTCCCTGTCTCAACCTTAGCCAGGCCCCAACTCTGGAGCTCACCTTGGGGCGAGGGGTTAGCGGTGATGATACACTTGAGTAGCACATCCGCCCCTGGGGCCACCACCGCGTCCTGCAAGGGGATCTCAAACACAGGGGCCTCCAGGGGCTCTTCTCCAGCAGACACATAAGAGTCATCTGAAGACTCTGCCAGAGACACGGGTGACAGGGTAAAGGGATATGGTCCTATGGAGATGACTCAGGGATAGAGGCTGTGATGGCAGCCCTGCATCTTAGAAATCCAAACCCAGAGAGAGGGGCTTCTAGAAGGTGGGGGTTGGGGAGCAAAAGACCTCTCTCCTGGATGTCCTGAGACAGGGAAGAAAGACAGAAAGGGGGTTCTCAAGCAGGACAGGGCATCCAGGACTCTGCATTAGTTTGTCTGCTCTTCAACCTCAGCCACAGTGTTGTTTCTGGAGGAAGGCAGGAGCCCTACCACATCTTTACACAAATCAGGGGTCAGGGATGGTAGATCATCCCTGTGCAAGGCACGCTGAGGGGCACAAGATACTACAAGTTTCCATACAGACAGAAGACAAGGTAATAGCAACCTGACATGTAAGTAATAATAGTGATGTCACAGGGCAACATGGGATGTACTGTCATATTAGTGATGCCGCCCTATAGCCGTCTGAGAGGCCCCATGAAAATCGGCTTTGATTTTGTCCATCCATCAAACAGTAACACTGCATACTAAGCTCTGCTTGGCACCAGGGCGATAAGAGGAAATAAGATGTGGTCCCTGCTTACGGGACGCTTGTACACACAGAGATCTCTCTGGGTATTTCTAACTCTGACGTTCTATAAGCTAGATAAAGCACAGTGCCAAAAGAGCAGTGATGATCCCAATTATGCTGTCTTCTAGCGACATAAACCGGCAAATTAGATAACCTCTCTGTGCCTCAGTTTTGTTATCTGTATGATGGAGCTGATAAATAATACCCAATATCTCGCAAAGCTGGCATACAGATTAAGTTAAAATAACACCCCCTAGGCACCCAGTTAACAGTGCCTGGGACATGGCTGTGCATATGCAATAATGATGGCCAGTAGAACAAGGGACAGCGGCCTAATCATCTCTAGGAATTTTGGGGCGGTAATACTTTAATGAAAAATAAAGTGATTCTGCTGAAGAAAAATACAGGGTGGTAAGCGCAATGAAAAAGACATACAGGGTCTCCTGGGAGCGGTGTGTAGGGGCCTCTGGCCTGGGGAAGCAGCAGCGGGTGGGAGCGAGTGAAGGATGGCTTCCCCTGCTTCAACCCAGGAGTGGGCCCCAAATTGGTGTTCAGGATGAGCAGAGTTAGGGGCAAGGGCAGTCTGGCTATTGGCCATCACCCACAGGAAGATTGGGAGACCACACACAGGCTGGTGGGTGACCACAGTCAGCTCAGCGATGCAGGGACTCAAGATTGGGAACAAAGAGGCTAGAAGGAGAGGCTGGGTTAGACCTTAGTGGCCACAGATGGGTCCGGGGATGGTGCCAGGAAGGGGAGGGCAGAGATGAGAGCTGGCTGATCCAGAGCTTTCCTGTAACAGGGACCTAACCGATTACACTGGTATATTGAGACAGGCTTCCATCTCGTCCCCGACGGAGGGGTGGTGTGGGGAGGAGCTCCTTAGATTTCCACCAGTGCCTTCCATCAGTTAGGTCCTTAACCCAACAGACTAGCAGGCCCCTAGACCCAGAGGGCCTATGGCAGGCATCTGGGCACTGGGTTTCTGCTCACACCTCAGCCTCGGCTCCATAAAAACACAAACACTCTAAAAAACACAACACACACACGCACACACAATCACACACTATCTCACCAGCAGGCAGGTTTTAGCACATCAACCTTCAAAACTTTCACTCAGACTTGTGCTTGAGTCCATTCCTGCCCCGGGAGACCATACCCTAGCAGCCTCCTCTCCCCAAACGCCCTCCCACCCAAGTCCCAGCACCTTCTCAGTGGTGCTTCTGGAGGCCTTACCAAGCTCAGGCGAAGTGGGCCCGGGCCCTGCGACCTCTGCCCTGGCTGCGAGTCCCTCTGCGGTCCCAGGCCCCCCAGGGACCATCCTCCTCCGGCCCTCGGCGCGGCCTCTTCTCGGCCTCAGGCCCCGCCCTGCTCTTCTCCAGCGCCGGGGGCACAGCAGCGCCCTCAGGGCCCGGCGTGGCCCAAGGCAGGAAGCGCACGGCTTGTGCCGGGGGCTCCCGCTTCCGACCCGGAGGGGCTTTTGTCCTGGCCTCGGGGGCGTCGCCCGGGGCGGGGGGCGGCACGGGGCTCCGGCACTCCTGGATGGTTCTGCCCCGGGTGAGCGGGAACTGGTCCCGGCGCCTGACCTCCTGCTGCGGGCCTTCCCCCAGCTCTGTCCTGCCGGCCGGCCCGCGGCTCTGCGGCCTCCCCGGCTCATCCCCGGACCTCCCCGCGACGCTCGGAGGGGGAGGCTGGGCGGCAGGGCTCACGGCGCGCGAGGTCTTGGGGGTGGAGGGCTGCGAAAAGAGCGGGGGCTCGCCGGGCTCCCGGGGGGACGGCGCGCGCTGCAGCGTGGCGCGCAGGGACTCGTGCGAGCGCACCAGCTCCTCCCGCGACGTGGAGCGGCGGATGCGGCCCAGCTCCTGGGCGAAGCGCAGCTCGAGGTCGGAGGCCGGGCTGCGCTGCCGCGTGCGCTCGTCCAGCGAGGCGGCCTTCTGCTGGAACAGGCGGCGCCGCTCGGCCACGCTGCCCGCCGGCGCCCGCAGCTCCTCCTGAGAGGCCTCGGGCGAACCCCACGAGGCATCGCCGTGGGACTTGGGGTGCTCCAGCGAGCGGGCCTTGCGCAGGGGCACCCAGGGCCGCAGGGGTGCCGGCGGCGAGTCGCTGCGCTCCAGGCTGCGCCGTCGCTCCTCGAAGAACTGCAACTTGTCCAGGATGCGGGAGCCGGCGCGCACCAGCCGCGGCGAGCGGCCCAGCGCCGACAGGCGGCCGGAGGCCTCGCTCAGGGGCGTCTGAGGCCGGGACTCGGCCGTGCCCGCCAGCGAGGGCCCCGACGACTTGGCCTTCTTCCCTCGCTTCTCTTCGGCGGTGGCGTCTTCGGGCAGCACAGGATCCTGAGCGCGCCGGTGAGGCGCCGTGGGGGTGGCCGGGGGCTGGGCGCTGGGGCCCCGGCGGGGGGCCGCTTACCCACCGCGGGGACGGTGGGGGCAGCAGTGCGGATTTGGAGGGAGGCGGCAGGGCCGGGCGACGAGGGGCTTCGCTGGCCGGCTGAGGCTGAAGGTCGGGCTCCTCCCTGTGCAGTCCGCTCTGCGGGACGCTGCTGCGGAACCGAGACCAAGAGGGTAGAAGCTTCAGGCGGCCTCCCCTCCTAGACCCTCAGCTCGGGACAGGGGTTGGCGGTGGGGCATGCGGGGAAGCCTTGGGGTGACATGGGCCAGACCACCACCCCCTCCCCGCAAAGAGGAAGGCACAGCCAGGGCAGGTGCGGTGCTGGGGAGAGGCGGCGGCTCAGGCACCGGGAGATGGGGCTAGTGACTGGGTCCAGGTAGGACTCAGCCCCAGGCGCTCAGGCCAGCCCCTCCCCCCAGCCCTGGAAGCTGGGGAACAGCGGAAACAAAACGGAGCGGTGGGAGAGAAAAGAATGCGGTTTAGGACCCAAAGGATGACGTGGTGAGGGAAGGCAAAAGGGGTGCACCGGGAGGGGCCCTCTCAGGAATGCAGCCTCCCACCCATTCCTGCCCCCAGCTGCCCCCCACGGTCCTGCCCATCCTCCCCATCCTCCGCAGGACATGGCACCTTCACAGCGGCCCCAGAAGAACAGGCACCAGCCTTTCAGCCTTCCTTCCAGGAGCAACGCTCCATCCCTGGGGTTCCCTAACACCAGCTCTGACCTGAGTCCAGTACTGAGAGGACACAGCAGGTGGTAGCGGGGGTCCCTAGGGTAGGAGGCTAGGATGCCCAGGTTCCCATTCCATTTCATCAGTCTGCCCCCAGTGCAGGCCTTTGACTTTGTCCTGCCCCTGGGGACGTTACCTGAGTCCTTGGAACTCCCTGGAGAAGCACAGAGGCTCCCCAAAGGGGTGTGCTCAGAAATAACTCAGTTCAGAAATAACTACTGCGTGGGCCCGAGTTGGGAGTGCGGGCGAAGAGGAGACGGGAAGGAGCTGGTCAGCCCAGAGTACACCTCTCACCTACAGAGCTTTGAGGTCCAAGAGCTGGGCCTCAGTTTCCCCCACCTGGACCCTTGCTAAACATAAAGATTAATAAGAAAGGGAATCTGAGATGTTAGCATCTCACCTGACACATTAGAGAGCTGAATACAAAGTATGAAATGACTCACTGAGTACTTATTGTGTGCCAGGCATGTGCTAGATGCTTTAAATGCACTGAGTCATTTAATCCTCACAACAACCCTTTCAGATGGGAACTGTTACAGGTCCATTTACAGATGAAGAAACTGAGGCTTATAGAGGTAAACGTC